TAACGGCAATCCTCGAAACAAGCATCACATGGTACACTTGGGGTATCGAGTTAGACATGCACAATTTTATGATATCAGGGATAAACATGAGTATAACAATTATGCTAAGCCTATTAGGAGAAGGAGTGTATATGCAACTTTCAATAGTATTTAAGCTTGGGTTAGGAAAAGCATTATCGTGAGTGTGTACTCTGTGTTAGGCATAAACAAATGTGATATACACAGGCTGAATATGTGTGGTCATGAACTATATTGCTATAGCTTAGCCAATAAGACAATACTACAATACGGTTGAGGCCAACATGTGCTTTGCTATCTACCCCTGATGTATGCAGGTAAGTCTCTGTGGCAAACCTAGCCACTCGGACTATAACTGGACACTATGCCTTTAAGGGTTGCCTATAGGTCTGGAGAGAGATGCATTGTACCTGTATGTGCCTACTTCATGTATTCCCTGCATTGCCTGTACCTATCTGTTCCGCCGAATGCAAATGGCGGTTTGTATGGGGATTCCCGTTCGTTTCGCGAACGGCACTTTGGAGGGCCGTTCGTGAAACGAATGCGATACCCCCTAATAGCCCACACACTTAGAGGCGTGTGGCGCTAGTTAACCGATTGCAACATTGTTGCAATCGGTTATTAGAGGCTCTCCTGGGTGGCCGTCGTTCGACTACCGACCATGCGGCGGGCGGCCATCTTGGATCCCTGGTTCGTCAGCGGGTCCGTGTCGTCGAACGCATAGCATTCCCAACAGTTATTCGACGGCACGAACACCGTTAAGCCTCCAGGACGTTCGGGAGTTTCAGGACCAGGTTCACTAAAGGCAATCGGTTCTTTTCATGTGTTTTGAAAGAAATGTGTTTTCTGTGCGGCGTTCGGTTATTTTAGCTGGGATCTGAGCGGCAATCTCACGAATGATGCGCCCAGACCCCAGCTATCTACCGAACGTCCATTCGTGTAAATCCACCGTATATTGTACCAGCTGTGGATTTTTGTGTGAATTGCCGGTTCGGCTGCACGAGGGGATAATCCCCTTAACGGTGCATTCTGGGAGGATGATCCCTCTCGTGCAGCGGTGCCTGATGGGAGAAATATGTGGTACTGTAAGTCCCCCATGTAGTCCCCTCCTGTACAACCCCTGTAATGTCTGTTTGGAAACCCCTTGCATGGGGAATTGCATAAATACTGTGACCTGTGATTAAAACCTCAGTTGACTCCCAGCCTATGTGTCGTCTAGTTCTTGGGAAGGAAGGGTTACTGCAGTGCTGTTTGGATTATTATATGCTGATTCCCTGGATTATCCTTTGTTGTTCCTGTTACCCAGCGGAGATATCGTGGATCATACTGCCTCTCCGCTACAGTCTCATCGCCAAATATTAGGTGTGTTTTTGACTGAAGGGTAGAGCATGGCAGTATTATTAGCACTGGGTTGTAAGCAGTCACAGATAGAGGCAATAGGAGGTATGAGGGATGGGGCGGATTTCTTATCTGTGGTGGTAAGTGTCCCGGTCAGCCAACTCCTGCCTGTGGTATGTTACAGTCCTGTTTAGGAGCCCCTGACGCTTTTCTACTGCTTGGGTACAGGCCTGGTAGGTGAGCTCGATCAGTATGGCAATTTGAAGCAGCAGTGTTGCTTCCCTCCTGTTGTTTACCTTTTTTATTGGAATAACAGAATTTTTAATGACAAGCTTTCGGGAGAACCTCCCTTTTTTAAGTATAAAGCATTTCTGAGCAAAATGACACATAGAATTCGAAGTTGAACTGTGAAACAGGGGTTAAAGTGACATGACTGCAGATAAGACACAGGTTTGATAGAAAAATAGACCTCCTTCTCGCAGAGGGTCGTAAATATCTTGTGTGAAGATCAGAGTGAGGGAGAAGAGAGAGAAAAAAAAAAACAAGCAAACAGTGCAGAAGACGGTGCTAGAAGGGGAGAGTCAAAACAAAATAATTACTTCTAAGAATGCATGAATTCCCATCCAAGAGTTACAGAATATGCATGAAGGCCTATGTCCAGCATACAGACTCACAAGTAGTGTATATGTACAAGTATACACAAGTACATACAACAATATACATACAAATACAATCAAATGCCCAATTATATGTACATGTACCTACACATATACAAATGTGCCTACACATACATAGATCCATATATATGTATATGTACAGCAGACACATAGTCCAAGGAATTCATGTATAAAGTGGAATGTGGCAAAAATGTGGTTCTTTGTTGAGCTCATTGCACATGCCTACCCAGAATTCCTTGCAGTAGTGAGAGCACTGTTAAAGTGAGATTTCTGTGGGAAAAGCAAGTCTTATGGCTTGACTGGTGTGTGCATTTGTGTTTAGCAATGTAATATATATAATCTCCATGTATCTATATCTCTATATCTGCCCTTTACATAAACAAAATATATGTATGGAGGCATAAGAAACAAAAAATGACAGGGGTGTGGAAATGTAAAAAAAGAAATCTACTTGTCCACTGGACTAAAACCCAAATTCACTTGTCCTGATCCACAAATTCATTTTAATTAGAAATACTAGGGCCCCTAGAGCATTTCTCTTTGTGTCCTTACTTCTAGTGTGTCTGGTGTGTGCGTGCTGGCTGTGTTTGTTATGTGTGTGGCAGGCGCTGGCTGTGTTTAATGTATAGGGGGTTTGTTGGCTATGTGTAATATGTATGTGTGTTGGCTGTGTAATATGTGGTAGTGGGGCAGGCTGTTGACCGGCCAGGCCGGTGCAAGAATTATTGCCTACACTAACGAAGGTGCATTTCACCTTCCCCCACACACATTTTTCTTGCTGTTTTTGGCAAAATGTTCTAGAGGTGTGATGGAAAACACTAGATTGCCAACCATTTCATCTATATTACAAAGGATATAGAGCAGCGGTTCCCAAACTGTGTGGCACGGCGCCCTGGGGAGCCGCAAGATATTTTCCCGGTGCTATGATCATAGCACCAGGAACTGTGCCTCCCTCTGCCCTGCAGGACCGGAGGGGAGATCAGAGATCTCTGTCTCCGGCCCGCAAGCAGTGTAATGCTGGCCATTGGCAGGACCCAGGGGAGCTCTAACCTGTAGCTCTCGGGGTTCTCCTCTCTCGAGCCTGGAGTGTTACCATGATTACAATGGCAACGCTCCAAATCTCATGAGAGTGAACTCTAGCAGCTCCTGAGGCTGCTAGAGTTCATTCTCACCACTTGGACCACCAGGGCTTCTCCACCGGACCACCAGCGACTGCACGAAACGTCCCCCCTCCCAGGCAAAGGTAAGCAGGGAGGGCTGATATTAAAATAAATATATTTAATTTACTAAAAGAATAATTATATATTCATGAATTTGCCCTCACACCACACAGTATCTTCCCCCATACACACACACACTAACATCTCAATACACACACTGCCCCTCAATACACATAATTGCCCTCCTCATACAAACACACACTGCACCACTCACACACTACTGATCCTATTCCCTTCTACAGCCCCTATCCCGGCAGATCCCAGGTAAATTGTCAAACTGTTCTTAAAAAGTTTTAATACTGGCACCATAACCAGTACAAAGTTCTGTAGTGGTTATTGTGCCTGGATTGTTTCTTTAAATAATCTACCAGCGCCCCACCCAAGATTAGGTTCTAGATCTGCGCTTGAACGGCAAGCATTTCTGCCGAACAGGGGCCCAGTATATGCCGCTGTGCTGTACATATTTTTTCTTGGAAAAATATTAAAATATTAAGGGTGCCTTGAACCTAAGAAGTTTGGGAACCACTGGTATAGAGAATATAGAGTTTCACAAGCATACAAAAACTTAATTTAATATAGAATAGCTAAATGTTATTTAAAAAGGAACACTCTAGCATTTATATTTCTAACATTAGATGCGCTTAAATACTTAGATATAGAGGGCATCCCATTAAGAGGTAAAGCTATTTTGCTCCCTTATCCCAAAGATATCCCACAGCCGCCACTCCTCCCTGGCTGAGATCATAGTTACTTTTCCATTGAGAACCACTGGAGGGCTTACTTGTGCATTTACGGCAATCACCATGCTGTGCTATGCATATTTTAAATCTTCCAACAAAGTCATCCTAGAGTTCTAAATCAGTGATTACTACATGTATAGAGGGGCCATCATGTTTCATTAAAGGAACACTCTTGTGTTTTGCACCCCCTCACCAATAACCTTTCTTGCGGGCTATGATTATAATTCCCTGTTGGTCTAGCAAGGGCTAAAATTACAGTATGAGGGCTTTTATTTTGTTCAGGAGGAAAACTAGAATGCAGCTGAAGAGCCTGATGAATCACCACACTTACTCTCTCTCCAGGCAGAAGGCAGAGCAGCCTAGACAGTCTTGTGTTGGTGCCTGTGATTTGCAGCTCCTTCACATTCCAGTGCTTATTTGTGAGTGCAGGATTGTGACTGCTTTCGATGTAGGTTCAAACCACACACTCCCTGGCCTATGTGTAAGCCCATAGCTGGGCTAAAGGGTTAAAAAAAAGAAAATAAAAATCTTCCTGCGTTGAGCAATAGGAATTCTCCAACCCTGAAATTACCATGGAACAAACCGAGCAAAAATGCAACGCATGCTTTAGTCACACAACAATGGAAACTTGTAAAATTGTCAGTCACCATGGGTTTCCAAGGGAAAGAAATTGTTGTTATAGGTCCAGGTGTTCCTGGGAGCCATATCCCCCTCACTCTCAGCGGCTCCTGACTGAATCCTTAATCCTAGGAAGTAGCTGGGCAGAGTGACTGGGCGCCATCGTAGAATGTTTGAGGTTATTAACAGTTTATTGACTTAAGATAAAACGGCACCTAGGATCTCCTGTCACCATGCCAACTTCATTGTGATAAAGTTGTTCTGGTACCTGGCGTGGTCCTTTTTAGAAACTGGTATATGTTACCAAGATCACATTGTTAGACAATCTTTGGCTCACACAAAATGTGGTATCGTGTTCTATAAATTTATATAAGTTTTCTATAACATCCTTTGGTGTTTCTGCTCCATCTAATACTCAAAAGTTGCATTCCACATAAAATACTATAAATTGTCTTTATAATCTCCACCATTCTCTACTGCATTTCTGAAACCACCCACGTTTTTGCTCACCAGTTCAGCTGCATTACCAGAATTCTGTCCAAACACAAGTGACAGTCACTTTTGGGGCCAGTTTGCTGGTTAAAATTAGTTCCTGATTGGAAGATAGTAAATGGAATAAAATATCCATGTATGTTTATCCCTTAAAGTAACAATCTTTCTTCTTAGAAATCAGTAAGTGTTTTGATACATAGGAATTCTGTATTTTCTGCAGATTATTGGGCAAGTCTATGCTGACCCTGACTGCCTTCCACGTACATTGGATTTTGGCCTGAACGTCCAACTCTTCTGGCAGAAATTTGTTTCTAATGATTGTCCGGCTGGCTTTTTCCCACTTGCTGCATCTTGCTGTCAATTAGAGCCAGACAAGAGGTAACTGATATAAATCTTAACCTGCTTTCATTGCTCCTGTTTGCAACTTTCTATATTGCCTTCTTATCTCCGTTTTGTTCTTTCTAGGCCTGATTTTCCATACCTGCAGGATGCATTTACAGCTTTGTCTCTGTTCCTGGGTGACCTGGGGATCCCTTTACCATCAGAGCTCGAGGAACTAGAGCAGAACTTGAGATCACAATATAACCTGACACGCAATAACACGACATCTCAAGAAAAAGACCAGACTTAAAGCTACCAGGGATGAAATGTGAACAAGAAACACTCTCCACCCTACCCTTTCCTCTCAAGTTCCAACACTTCCATTTTCTCACTTGCATTAAGTTTAAGAACAAAATGTATTACGGTCTCTTGCTTCTTATTGATAACTTGGAGACATTTGTAGTAGGTCAACAGCTTGGCATGTACTTTGCATTGACCTAGGGACCAAAATTCTAAAAGCCAGTGTGATAACGTAAAGCCATCTGTTACTACTGGGCATGTATTATGCCAAACTTTAAGAGGGATGTTGATATGCTTGAACAATATATTCAGACTTTACCAAGCACACAATTTCAGTTAAGAAGATGAGAAACCAGCATTTTTTTTTTTTTAGCTTTTCATAACGCTGTCTATGGCCATGCCTGCACAACACTTACAAATCAAAATTATCTGCACTTTTTGAACTTTAAATGAAAGAAACAAAACCTAACACTCGGCTGGCCTTTGAACAGCAACTAGGAGGGTGACGTCTCCCATACTGCGTTACATATATTAAAGCAGGTGGTATTTGACCTCAAGGTTGGCTATATATTCTGTGATTTATTGACCACTTTAGTAGAATTATGATATTCTGCAGGGAAGAATTGCTGCATTTTTTATTTAAGTGAAAACTGGAATTTGTAGTCTTAAGATTGTATTATTTTTTTAATGGACTTGTCACTCTACAAACTGTATACTCTAGTGATAACTTGCCTATTTTTTTTTCTCTTTTGGTGCTTTCCACAGTGAATGATAATACGATAACTATATCCACTGTAGATTATGTGAAAATGGGTTTTGTGCAACCACTTAACTTTAGCAGGGGTAGCCATATCCAGGCATCCCAAATGTTGCTGGACTACAAAATGCTTACATTAACAATGAGTCTTAATTTACGTTCCCTACCTGTTTATATGCAGGAACCTATAGCCTGACTTACTGTGCATTATTATTTAGTGAAGTTGTTGTTTCAGTGCATAAACTCAGGCACTTCTTTACCTCTTGCTGTTACAGCTTTATCTTGTAACCTAATGTGACCAGGGAGTGAAATGGGTTAGAGGAAAGCCTCATTATTTTCATTGGTTCTGGAGGCTTGTCTCTGGAGCTAGCTGCCGTAGAACATGACACTGTGACCTTGCTATAATCTGTAACTTCCTGGAGGCCACACGGATTCAATGCAGATGATTGTGCAGTTTGATTCAACAGGCTCTGCCTGCTCATTTTATTAGCAAAACACTCACTGTTACAAAAAAAAAAAAAACTTCAATAAACAGATTTCATACAATTTGTACATTCAACTCTGTTCGGTTAACAATTATAACCAGTGCCATGACATCGGAGCTTGGTAGCAGCGGATGATGGCATCAAAAGACATATGTACTGCAACGCACACATACATGTCAAGGGTTCTGTAAGGTTCAGACATTTACCTCATCCACAGCTTGAGAAATATATACATTATTGCCCTTCATGCACACAGCATGGAGGACAGATCACCTCCACCTTTTGTGGCTCATAGAAGGTTTGAGCCTGGAAACAAAGTGCCAGCAACAGTCAATGTTCTTGTAGATATTGAAGCTGCGGATATCTGACCACGCCAGTCTTGGATTAGAAGATTGTAGACTTAGAAAATTGAGGATATTGTAAAGCAGACCAAAAGGCCATTGGATTCTTAGCCCTGTCAATGAAACAAATGCTTACAAAAAGGAAAAGAAGTCAAACACCTAGCAACTACATGTGCCTTCACCAGATTTATGCATGATGATGCTGTGCAGCTCCTGAAAGGTGCAATAATGCCACCATGTGCATTCCACACTGATAAAACTGAGTGTCTTTGTCCACATTTTCATGCATCCAATCTTTGTTCACGCTCCAGGTGTGCCTGTATGGTTCATTAGGGGATCTTCATCTTGTTCAGCATGGCTAGAGGGAATCTCTATGGTATTCTCATCTACAATGTCACATGATGGATTCAAAAAGGCAGAGAGTGGTAAATTTATCCTCTGAATTCGCCTCTCCTCGATCTCTTGATCGTGCTTGCGCTTTAGGTCTCTTGCCCTAGGAGGAGGCAATAAAAAGGTGTTCAGCAGAGAAAGCATCAGGAAGTGGTAAGAAAAGACAGGAAATAGAATGTCAAGGGTACAAGCAGTAAATCTAATAGAATACTGATTAAGTTCTGGAGTAGGTTGAAGAAATCATTGCCCTTGTGATAATACATAGGTATGAGAGCAAAGGTTATACATAAAGCCAAAGCACTGGCACTTAGGATCTGATCAAATTAGCAAAAGAGGTCATACGGTGGTTCACAATTTGAGATTACACCATGTCATGGGTATGCAGTTTCTGATCTGTGTCGGTGTTGCTCTTTATCAGATTAGTTTTTATTGTTGTCATATAATAAGCATTAAACATCGATACAATGGCATACATAGCATTGTTGGACAAGTCCGTAAAGTATACAGTTTTGTTGTAAACTACGGATGTACATAGTATGCATTGTAGGTTGTACAGTAGGCATTTCCAGCTATGTGGTGCATTTCCTTAGTGCAGGTAGCCTGCTGGATGGGGTAGGTATTAGGAGGCAGCCACTTGTCGTGGTTTCAGCGGCTTCTGTGTTGGTCGAGTTATATGTCTTGGCAAGCCGAGCACGGCGTTCGGAGGTGGGTGGAGATGGTTTGTGGACAGCAGGGAGACACAGTCTTGGGTTCCCTGTTAGGTAGGTCTGTTCGAGGTCCATTGGGGCAGGGGGTTAGTTGTCGGGAAGTGAGGTCGAGGGGTCCGTCAGTTTCGTCCTGTGTGTGTGATTGTCACGGGTGTCTCATTGGTGATAGTCGCTTCCCTTTGATGTCTTTGGGTTTTGACCGTTTTATCAGATTATTTTTAAGCTATTGTAGATAAGTAATAAAGCAAAGTAAGAAAGTTGGTTACTTACCTCTTATACATATATCCAACTACAATGCCACTGCCGATGACAATAATTATAACAACCATGAGAATTCCCAGGACATACCCTGTAGAGAGAGGAAGGCATCACCAAAATGTAACAAGCAGGCGTGTGTTGCCACACCTGGAATGAGACATGCATTGCTTAGAAATTAGTAAATGACACTCACCTAATGTCCCCAGATCTTTTTTTTCACGGGGTTTTGCTTGAACCCTCTCGCTAATGCTGATAACAGGCTGTGCTTCATGAGACTTATCTGATGATTGTAATGACTGTTCCGTCTCTTTATAGAATGATACGGATTCTGCTGACACCTCCTGGTGCCATGGAGATACAGTCGGCTCAGAAGTAGAGTTTTGCTTTGTAAGAGCTGAAAATAGAAGATGACACACAGGCGGTCAGGCATACTTTATCATATAGTTAATTGTGGGTCAATAGTACCAATCACTATATCAGGTGTAATACAAATATGACCGGCATAATCAAAAATGGAGAAAAATACAAACCATTATATTAAAAACACCAATGTTATGCAGATGGAAAAAAAAAAATTCCTGCAGGAAAATTGTGTGTCTCAAAGAGAGGGAATTTCCATTCCTGTATATAGATAGGTTTGCAGACCACTGAAGCGGCACTGTCATGCTGAACTTACCTTTCTTTAAATCGATTCCCCCATCTCCCTCTGTTAGAATCTGTTCTTCATTTCTTCCTGTCTGCTCTAATTTTTTTTTTTTTAAAACATAAGAAAAAAGTAGGGACTACTTTGTCTTATGGAGGACAATAGGTACCCCCCCTACATTTAGAGCACCCACTGCTGAAGGGTGAGGGCCAGGGGGGAGGATAGTAGGCCCCCCCCTTGTTATTTAAGGTCCCCACTCAGGGGTGAGGACAAAAAGGCGTCGCCACCCCCTTCTTGTTATAAGAAATGAAGAACAGATCATGACAGAGGGAGAGAAGAGGAAGCGATTAAAGAAAGGTAAGTTCGGCATTACAGTGCCGCTTTAACATGCAATGTTCTGTTTTTACCCAGGGTGTTTAAGAATTTCCAACTGCTTTAAGGAAAAGGTCCAGCCTGAAATCTCCCAATTTCTGTTAACACATTCATTCATTCTAGTAACATCTGTGGGTCGATCCAATTATAATGCTAAAACTACTTCCTCCTAATTGAATAGGAGGTTATTCACAAATTACTACCTCTAGTTTGGTTGAAAGAAGGCAAGTGCCTATCCCTATAGGAATACTCTTAGTGTAGATATGATAATGACTTGTGTAGTTGTTACAAGTACCCAGTACTGGCTGTTCCATCTGGGTTCACCCTCTCTATGCAGGAGAAGATCCAACGTAGAACAAGACGGTACAGGTGTTTTAGCAAAGGGATTTAAGCAGGTACTACCTTTACCATATGGAGCCACGTTTATATATGGATTTCAACATATAAATACATTTCGTTCAGGTTAACTTTAAAGACAGGAACGTATGCCCTTTGGGGCTTACAGTGCTTTGATCTAGAGACCTAAACTTTACAAACAGAACCGTTTATAAAAGGGATAGTCAAATGCCTATATAATTACTAAGGTTCATGGGAGTTGTATTTGCCACCAGAAAGAAAGAGAATCTTTAGGGATCCAATTTTTACTCTTAGCCTAGTACTTTGGCAAAAGCAGACTGGCAAGGTTGTAGAGAAGCAAATCATTGTCAGCTCCTAATTATTTACTTAACCCATTCTATTCTAGAGAGTAACTACCCTGGGTGTGATATTTTTTACATGTGCCTGCTCTGAACTTCCCCAGAGGTATAAGTTAAAGACAGACTGACATTTCAGCTACCTCACTGTTGCTATTTACTGCAGAGGAGGCCCTCTTGTGAATATAAACTCTCTCCAAGATGGAGGAAACGGCTTCTCCAATCACCACAAGTACTAGATTTTTAAGTACCCAATTGTCTTAAATAAATTCTGGAAAAAAACAACCTTTAATTTAAAGGGACACTAGTCACCAAAACAACTTTAGCTTAATTGGGCAGTTTTTGGTTTATAGATCACACCCCTCTAGTGTCACTGCTTAATTCTCTGCCATTTAGGAGTTAAATCACTTTGTTTATACAGCCTAGTCATGCCTCCCTGCATGTGACATACACAACCTTCCTAAACACTTTCGGTAAAGAGTCTTCTAATGTTTACACATCCTTTATTGCAAATTCTGTTTAAATTAGAATTTCTGATCTCCTGCTCTGTCAATAGCTTGTTATATCTTACAGGAGCCTTATGTATGCAATTAAAGTCCAATTTACAGAATAGGAGATTTAAAAAAAAAAAAAAAAAAAAGTCACATCTATTTGAAAATGAAACCATTTTATTTTCATGCACATTGTGTCAGTTACATATGGGGGAGGTGTGGCTAGAACGGCATAAACAGAAACAAAAGGGATTTAACTCCTAAATGGCAGTTAATTGAGCAGTGAAACTTTAAATGCATGATTTTTATTATGCTAAAGCGGTTTTGGGGACTATAATGATACTACTTTCAAAAGGGTTTTGTTTAGTTTTTTTGTAAGAAAAAAATAAAAAAGTTCAAAGTTGATCCAAAAATATTAAATTATTTGAAAAGCTTATCTAAAAGTATCACATCAAGGCTGTAATTTGAGGAATCTCTCTGCCTTCTCATTTGGCCATCTATTTATTTGTAAAACGGGAGCATCCTTTTGACCATGCAAAGGGAAAAATAAAAATTACTTTTCTGCCAAAATGTTTACGCTTTTTCTGCAAAGTATATGTGGAGGTGCCATATGGCGACCATCCTATTTAAGCAAATAAAAGTAGTGAATGCTATAGGAACCCGATTTATCCCCCAACGTTATCCTAAGTTTAGACAACAAGGTTATTAAGTAAAGTGAGAATTCTAATTTAACGCCAGGACAGCCAATACTGAAAGCAAAGCGGACTTAGAAAATGTTTCCAATTCAGCAATTTTGACTTTAAAATTCCTTTTGAATTCTCACTTTAATCTGAATACTTGAAATGAAATAAGATATGACATTACAATTTTATTAGGTCATTATTGATCATTTCTGGCAACCAGTCAGCACAGAAAAGCAGCCCGATCCTCCTTTTTCTTTTCTACAGTGCACCGCAATTATAGAATGACCTCCCCAAGCCTGAAATACTTTAAGAGATCCCTCTCTAGATACCTCAAAACAGAATGCACGTGTTATGGTTGATTATATATTTCCTACTTGTTCTATGTTACATTTTGTATATATTGTGTATTAATATTGTTTTTGTATTTTATTGTACCCTAATGTATCAATGCAATGTTTTGTGGACCCAGGACATACTTGAAAACGAGAGAAATCTCAATGTATCTTTCCTGATAAAATATTTTATTGAAAAGAAGAAAAAAAAATGCCTCCTAAGGAACTACAACTTTCTAGCCTTTTGATGACCACAACTCCCATATCTCTCCCTTCATTTTCAACAAGGGTTACAGTCAAACAGTTGAATTGTTGCTTTTGGTGGCCTGAATAGGAACAGCAGGGGTGTAGGAGTGCCATTTGTCCACTTACAAATGAATCTGTCCATAGCAGCCAACAGACTAGCAAATGAATAATAAATAGGGTTGTTGGATCCACCCTATTTTTCCTAACAATAGATAGCAAATGGGAAGGCCAGCCCTGCAGTATAAGTGCATATGTTTCAATATTCCTTTTTGATGTTAACTAGAGTCCTACGTGCAGATTTCGAATTCATCATACTTTAGGGGAGCACTTTTCATGCGCTACCCAACATGCATAAGCTAGGTCTTTAGAGAAACATTGTATCACCATTTCCTAGAAATCTGGGTACTCTCTGAGTAATTGAAGTGTTACATAACCCCATTTTGGGTTTTGTTTGGCTAATTTCAGCAGCAGGGAGTGCCTAATTCTATTAAAGTACACATGTTTACTGAAACTGGAAACCAATCAGCATAGCCAATAAGAAGTGAAAATAGAAAGCACAGCGACAAGGCTATCCAATCCCAGATACCTCACACAAACAGGGCAGATAGTTATAGTATTCTCTCCGCCCTAAATACAGAAAAACAAGGTCATGTGATCTCCGCACACATGGTGAACAATGGGTTAATCGATCCATTTTCTTTTATCTGTTCCTATTTATATAGTACACGGCCTCATGATTAGATCTAACGCCACGGAAATCACGATTTATATAAGAACACTAATCACGACACTGGTAAATAACACGAGCTGTCCCTTTAATAAATCACCACATGCTTTAGATCCTATCACTGGTTGCATGTATGTATGTTTGGTAAATAACACGAGCTGTCCCTTTAATAAATCACTACATGCATGTAGATCCTATCACTGGTTGCATGTATGTATGTTTGGTAAATAACACGCGCTGTCCCTTTAATAAATCACTTCATGCATGTATGTATGTTAAGGCAGCCACAAGCAATCAAATTGCCCGACTTCATTGCAATGAGATGACTATAACCAAGTGCTCCTATGGCGAGGCACTGCAGCTCCCAGCACGCTCAGCCTGCATACATTCCAACTCCCAGTATGTATGCCGTGTATGGAGCACTGCAATCTGTGCCATAATGAAGGCTTTCCATGTGTCGGTTACCTGAGGTCCCGGGGAGCAGGTTGTAGCCCAGGATGAGCAGTAGGAGCTGGGGGGCCATTGTGGCTGCTGTTGGCTGGTATCAATGTGTTCTGCTCTGAGCTCACTCACTGCAGCCTATTTGCTCTCATTACACTATGTCGCTCATGCTGCTTAGGACTTTTTTTTTTTTCAGGTTGTTTTTCCCATTTGCTACTCCTCCCCCTTACATGCAGGGTGGGTTTAAAGCCGGAAATATATCCAGTGATACTTATTCTGCAGTGCGGCTTACACTTGGAGGGGTAGCTGACGTCCATGTATCTAAATTAATATCCATTCAAATCTGGGCTGTCTCTAGGTGGGATATTCCCATCAGGCAGTGTTTAATAGAGCTTACTGCCATCGTCGTCCTTCTTGCACTGAAAGTGTTAATATTAACTTGTTTTTCTCAATGTTGTCAACGTTCCAAACTTGTTACATTTTCCTGCTTGGCAATATAACCAGAGAATCGCAGTAATGAGTTAAGCAGGTTTAGCACCCCTTGCTCTTTAACCCTTTGAGTGACAAGAGGTTTGGCAGATATGTGCATCTCTGACAATCAAAGGTTGTCGTGAAAGGGTTAAAAGTAAAGTGTGGTGGTGGAACCTCCTTCCTCTCCTACTCTAGCCATGTACAGAAAGGTGAGATGCGGTCGCCGGTGTTATCACTGGCTATGTAGAGTGCATGGGTTCATCACACAGGTTATCAGTAATGGCCTTGGTAAGGACAGCATGTCCTGTGCTCACAATACAAGGCTGAGGGCAGTGCTGAGGCACAGAGCAGCCCCTGTCAGTACAAGCAGGAACTGGTTTGTACAGGATCTCAGGATGGGGGTGTGCATGCTCAGAGCTACAGCAAGCCTGATATCTCTGCAACATCCACCGACTGCTTAGAATTACACCAGATAACTAGGCTGGGTGTCCAATAAAACTCCAAATGGGCTTGCTGTGGCTTTTATCTTTTATTTAAAAACTGGTAGGGTATTCAAAGTGAATTTCAAATTTACGATCAAATAGCTGAGCTCGAAGAATCCTCCATTTTGGCTTAAATAATCAGGCAAGAAACAAAAATAGTCAAACAATAGCAGTTATTAATCTATGGTTGGCAGAGATAAAGACAGACAATTGTGACGTATTTCTAACTGTTGGAAGATTTGATTGCTTCTAATAGGTTATGGCATAAATCTGGAGTGCAAAAGGAATTTAAAAAAAAAATGTGGACTGGCGGTTATAGGAGTTGGGGGACGCTGTATACGGTTTAGGTAGTGCTGGAATTGTTTTTTTTTTTAAAACACATGAACTAGAACAAACAAAGTGAAAGTGAACTTATTTTGAGCGTTGCAGGGCAAAAAGGGTGTTAACTCCAAATTAAATCTTAATGGGAAAACACAAATAGTTCAGAAACTATTAAGTTACTCAAAACCAATTTAAAACTTTACTTTTATTATGTGCAATTAAAATAAATAAATTTAGAAAAAAAAAAGTGGACACATAAAACCCCAATAAAGCGTATATACAGAAATAGTCTGTTAGAAAGGCGCATCGGGCCTCAGCTGCATATACTAAGTTGGTGAACATATGCAGAAATGTTGGTGCTTTTGAAATATAACTATGTGAATACCAACTTGGGTATGTGAGCCTTTCGATATTAGTTACAATATTTATTTCAGCTAGCTAGGCATCGATCTATCTTAGTTTAGGTGCCCTCAAATGCACAGAGCTTAGCCGACATTCCCTAATATTATGACACATTCTAATTGATATTCTTGAATACCATAGACTGTGATTACTTTTGTTGGAGTTTTAGAGAATACATAGGTATAAACCATATAGCTCTCTGATATTTGATTATTTTGTTGCAATCCATACTAGCAGTAACAAATAAGAGTGGGGAAAAAAATCAAAAGTATAAAGAAGCACCTCAATATAACTATTTCACTAGCAAATTACTCTTTAGCTGAAACTATCTCTGCATATACAGGTTATTGTTTATGTGTCCAGTTTTTTTTTTAATCTTAATTGAACATAATAAAAGGTTAAATTGGTTTTGGGTAACTTAATTTAGAAACGGTTCCTGTTTTATAATTACACAGGAATTAGTGTTAGACAGTTTACATCATCTCACTTTTGTTTTTACAATCTGCAAAACCACATCATCAGGATAGATAACAGATCAGGAAACCATGGTTTCCACAATGCCAGCAACCTACTTTACAATGTAAAGAATTAAAGGCCAAGCACTCGGTACTTTTAGGTGCAATGTGTGCTTTAGTAAGACATCCCGAACGGCAGACAAGCTTGATAAAGACACACATAAGGTTGAAATGTTGCCTGTCATTTGGGATGGCTGAATAAAATATACATAGCACCTCAAATGTTTTTTTTTTTTAGCCCCTCCAGTCAGTTGCAATAGTACAAAGGCAAGACACACTTTTGGTGTGGGGATAAAAGAAAACAGTGTAATGATAAACAGCTGATTAGAGAAGCTTGAGGTTTGGCCACACATGCCTAGTTCCAATTCTATGAGAAGCAGTGGATTTGAGATTATGGAAGACATCAGCAGTCAACAGACAGCCACTAGAGGCAGTTGTAGTCCTGCAATGCAATTATTGCAGTTTCTCAAAATCTGCAACGATTTACATTGCAGGACTAACAGAGCAATAACACTGCCCCCAGACCACTTCAATGAGATGAAGTGGTCTAGGTGCCTATAATGTCCCTTTAAGGTTAGCAATACATAAAGAGGTAGCATTTTTTTTTTTTTTTTTTACATATTTTCGTAGTCTAATGCTATTGCACACTTATTATGCCAATAATGTATGATAGTGTAAACAAAACGTTTATATGCACAAGAAAAATAAACTCCTTTAACCCCTTAAGGACACGACATGTGTGACATGTCATGATTTCCTTTTATTCCAGAAGTTTGGTCCTTAAGGGGTTAAAGATATATTCGTTTAATAGGCAGGGTCTGGAACCTAACCTACCATATCAACGAAATATTTCTATCTATCCGTCTATATATTTTGTTGTTTTTTCATTTAGTCCCACACTGTATGCCGTTATCTATTCTTGATGTTAACATTGTGTCAGTTTAGGTGTGCTATTTAAATCCTAAAACAATACTTCTCTCAATCTGTGATCGGGTTCGTCTGATAACTCTACTAGGAATTTTTATTCCAAGGTCTTTCATTTCCACAGTTACTAGTTCTGAATACTGTTAAATTAGAGAACTTCTAGTTATATGGTGAGTTTACCTTTTAAGACAGAATGTTAATTCATGATAGAAAATGCTAATTTAATAGGTGTTTGATTCCCAGCAAATGTCATTTAACTCCAGAGCAGACTATATCAATAGAGAGAAGAAAAGAAAAAGCTAGTCAATACAGTAGAAAATGTATTTATACTTACTGTAATTTTCTTTTCCTGACTTGATTACGGCAGCATATACAAATGTTTGTATATGTTGCCATGATTAGCCAGGACATTATAATTTCTCTAAAGTAATTTACAGGGATATCAAGAGACAAGCAGCTGGCTCTGGCTGTAATTCAAATACAATATCCTGTAGGATGACAGTTATCTGATGACTCAGTAGGAAAAGCCCACAAAGGATTCCTTGCCCAGGAAAAATGGGAGAATATCTGATAGATCTGACCCACGCAGCATAACGGCCACTCTGATGTTGATGGCCAGTCTTATTCTTGTTACTTCTGATGTAAGGAATTCCACACCAATCACATTACTGCTAATTCATAACCCCCATTAGGCACAGACATTAACATAACCCTAATGTTGGAAAAGCTCCCAGCAGTAGGAATTTTATAAACTAGCATTAGAATGGTGAAAGATCAAGAACAGGGGTTCCCAACCCAGTCAAGTACCCCCTACCAGTCCCGGATTTAGGACTTACCCTGTTGTGTCTAAAGTATGGTTTCCCTTTTTCTACAAACACCTTAGACACAACTGGGTAATCCCTAAATACTGGCCTGTTAGGGGGTACTTGAGGATTGGGTTGTGAACCACTGATCTAGATCCATCATTCCATATGGTTTTCTTTGCCAAATTTACCATTGGCTTATTAGCATTCCTTGGAACAAATTTTGACTTTTACTCTTGACACACAGTTCTTTTTAATTCATAGTTTCTATGGTATTTTATACCAACCTGACAAGTTGTTGTTTAAATAAGAAGTTCAATCAATAGAGCCGACATCTAAGTAAGCAATATTAATTTTCTAAAATGTCAGCCTTTTTACTCTTGTACTTAGAACTCTCTGAATAAGTAAGCATTTGTTATTGTATGCGAAAAGGTAGCACATGTCAACTGTTTCACATTTGATTCTGTTTATTAAATGTGTGGCCACCTTTGCTCTGGCCAAGAATCATCTTTTAGGTAAGAGAATACAAAACATTCACATAGAAATAATTTCTTTTGTGCCCTCACTTAAGACACATTTGCCTCATATGTTCAAGATAAATCACACATCTGTGCATTCTAAAGAAAGATGACAATATACATTTAATGTGTCCAGTTTTTCATCCTGCAGGGCGACACAACTTCCTGCAGCATTCCATTCTTTATTTCTAAAAACAAGCCTTTCAAACCCAGCACGAGCTTGTGATTTAGTGAGTGAACTTAAGTACCACCTAGGTAACCATTGCTTCTTCTCTAGAGCTATCTAGGTGCACTCTAGCCACTTCAAGAAAGCACCCTACAATTTACTCCCTTGGTATTTCTTGGGTCAGGATACACTCTGCCTAGTTCTTTCCTGAGTTTAGGGTCACAAATTTAGAAAGGGGCGTTCCGATATGCAGCACACAAAGGCAGGATGATGTGTGGATTGATTTGGTACTTTCTTTTCTGGTCCCCTCGATCCACAGCCTCTGCAGCTATCTGCTAACCTGTCTTTACTGCAAATAATCTCCTTGCACCGCTCTCTTATCCCATAGCCACTGCTAGTATCACTCATGATCTGTATTGATTTGTGGTCCTGCTGCTACTCACCCTCACCACTGATGCCCTGCAGATTCTCTCTTACAGCTTCTTTTTACTTCCCCTCATTCCCCATCCCCTGCTGCTCTCCCTCAGTGTCCACAAGAGATGATGCAAAAGCAGATTGGACAATTTGGAAACCAAACGACTCCAGCAGAGACATGTTCTGTTGAGGTGAAAATGGGGATGCCAGTGCAGACCCCAAAGCTGGTCCTAAAGTAGGACCTAGTGTGGGTCCAATGCTTGGACCCAAGGCAGGACCCAGTGCTGGACCAAGGGCAGATCCTAGAGCTGGCCCCAAATCACCAAGTGGGGCCCCCAGAGGCCTGGTGTGCACCTTCTGGATGTGTTTGTTGAGATAGGCCTTGGAGCGAAAGAAGCTGCCACATTCTGAACAGGGATAGCGTTTCTCTGGCTCTGCCTCGGTCTTCTTGGGTATTACAAGGTCAGGAGCAGTGTATGACCCATTAGCACTTTGCTTTTCTGGGGACTTTAGATCACTTCCATCTGAAAGGTCGCCATAAGAATCAGAGCTTTCTTGCTCACCATGCTGACACTTGTCCCCCTCTGCAAAACAAAGATGGAGATTACACAGATGCATACAAGGAAATGTGTAAACCTTGATGCGGGTATTCAGATTTCTGCTAGCACATGCAACAATCTCTGTCTTTAACTTTTTTTTTTTTTTGGAACGTTCTTGCTTTGTTTTCTAGAATAAAATATGATGTAGTTATTTAACTTCTGGTCTTTTTCTTAGTAGTGACACTTTAGAAATAATAATAGTAAGGAAAGACAAGGGACAAAGGGAAAGTGCAAGTAATTGAAATAAAATCCCCAGTTGTACATAACTTGAACTATCTATAACTGGACTCCCCTCTCCATGATCAAATATATTATTCAGAACATACACTAATTACGTGTCAGAATGAGAAAATGTCACCTAAAATGTGTTATGGCCAAATATGTTTAACATTATTCTGCATCTAATGCAGACATTATTGGGTGTTCCTGTTAGGATAAATGCCATAGTGGCAGTTTATAGAAAACAAAATTGCATCTAAACATTATACTAGTTAAACTGCATATTGAATGAATAAAGTGGCCTGAAAATATGATGTGCCAAGCTCATAGCAGCAGAAGACTGAGAAGAAGTAACGGAGGGCAACTCCATCTTGTCCATTTGTGGATGCCATCTTGGACAGGTATTAAGAAATCTTCAGGTAAGTATATCTATTAATTTGTACATTTGCCAGCACACTAGAACTTTTTTACTAATACAGGCATTGGGGAAATTTGACAAAATAACTGCAAATAGTAGCTGAAAACAGTCAAGTTGGAAATGTTTTTAATGTGTCTGTTTTGACTTTAAATTTGCATTTATTTAACAAATTATACAGAATTTTCTGCCTAGTTTATAACTCCCAGTGTATTCTTCCTGGTTAAACCATTTATACATAATTGGCCAAATTAAACACATGTATAGTACAGTGCTTTGTTAACCATATTTGCCATGTGCATCTGGAAACATACAAAAATTTGCAATTGGCTTTTAATTCCCAATTTACTAAATACATAAAAACGTTGTGGATGAAAGGGGAACTTTAAATAAAACCATTGATATGTGAGCAATTCTTACATAGCTAAAATCACTTCATACTGGACTCCTCCATTATTAAGTGGTTTATGTTTCTCTATTGTTCAAATCTGCTTGATTTATCCATCACACTCTTATTGCACATGCACTATACTTCAGAACTCAAGTTTTAAGTGATGTCTCTTACAATTTAAATGGACACTATAGCCACCAAAACAACATTAGCTTGATGAGTTTTGGTGTAAATATCGTGCCTCTGAAGTTTCACTGCTTAATTCACTGCCATTTTAGAGTTACCGGGTAAATCACTTTTGTTTCTGTTTATGCAGCCCTAGCCACACGTCCCATGGCTCTGTCTGACACAGCCTGCATGGAAAAAAAAAAGTTTCACTTTCCATCAGAGGTTACTTTCTTTAAAACTTTTTATCTCCGGCTCTGTAGTTTGAACTATAATTCCATACAGGAGGCTCCTGCAGAGCCTAGCAAGCTTTTCACAGATCAGGAGATAAGAAATTCTAAATTAAACAGGATTTGCAATAAATGAAGTGTAAACATGGGCTCTCACTTTACATGAAGTGTTTAGGAAGGCTGTGTAAGTCACATGCAGGGAGGTGTAACTAGGGCTCCGTAAACAAAGTGATTTACCTCCTAAATGGCAGATAATTGAGCAGTGAGACTGCATGGGCATGAGCTATACATCAAAACTGCTTCATTAAGCTAAAAATGTTTTGTGACTATAGTGTCCCTAAGTATACTTTTTGCTGTTGGGATCTGTCCTATGAGCATTGTCAGCACATGCATACTATCTCTCTTTTTTTGGAACATGCTGGGAAGAAAGGAGTCCTTGTCGGTACAAAAAAAATTATATTATCTTTTTGCATTTTATTTAGGAGGTACTATGTTTTAGACATCACTACATCAGATTTTGCATGGTACTCCCACTATTAATATACAAATGCCCACGATTTTCCCCAAATTGCGCCCCCCTCTGCACGGACAGCCGGCTGTGACTCGCTTGCCTTTCATGCCACAGGTCCGGACACAGTGGAAGAGCGCTGCCCCGTTGGGGACGGACTCCGGCCGGTGAGGGCCTGCGCTGAGGAGGGCGCCATGATGTGTTTTTACATGGACCTTTAAGTAGGAAGCGGAGGAGAAACCTAAACAAAATAAAAGCAGATGAGTCTCTACTATATGTAGACCTGCAACTGCTCCCATACCCATTCTGAAACCCCAGCTGGTTATATTAAGTGGTAGATAATACCAAATTAAGTAACTGCTAAACCATGTCCTAATTGATCACTTCCACAATCTGTCCAAATGTTCATGAACAACATACTATGCTTGTAGACTGACTACTCTCTCAGCTAAACACACTTTGCTTACAGGCTAAATCCTCTTTTAGCTAAGCAAACATAGCTTGCAGATTGGCTCTCTTCTCAAGCAAGAGTGTCCCGGCCGCCTCCCAGGATATGCAGTCGAACCACTGACATATTGTGGGGTCCATCGGGTGCCAGTCGCTTCCTCCTAGACTGGTAGTGCAGACAGAAGAACTAACAGAAGCTCAGTTTATCCTGGAGACGGATTGGTGGACCCCAGGCAAGTTGCATGGTTTGACTACTTATACTGGGAGTGCACCAGGGCACTCCTGGCACCATAACTACTACATCACTCTGTTGTGGTTATGCTGCTTGGTGTGTTCCTTTAAAATTATTCAAATTAATTAATTACAAGTTAAGTTTATTTTTATTTTCAGTGTCTCCCCGCTTCAGTAATGAGCTTCAAATGGGAGTTATCTTCCATTCTGGCACTGATCAATTATCAGCTCATTTATTTTTGGACTGGTTCCAAATAGTTACTGACAAGTTCTGGTAACAACTTCGTAAAGGCCACATACTCTCAAACCTGCAGTTTATTCACGTACTAACCAAAGATTATTTTTTTTGTACTTTACACTACAAATTGTATGGGTTTATATACACAGGTAATTGTTTAGGCTCCAATTTGTGAAATAATTGGAAAGACACTCCAATTTCATGCCATCACTTCTGGCCATTTGGTAATAATTTGTCTAAAGGAAACACCTGAAAAATAGATTTTGTCCTTTGGTCTCAATAACATCCTGTATGCTGACTACACTGACCATTCCATTACCGTCAAAAAAGTATGACAAGTTTCTACATAACCAGAGTAACCACAGTCTACTTCAGGAATCAAAATATTCTGTGATTTCACCAGAACAGGAGCTCAGGTCCTAAACTCCTACTGTGCATTACATACAGCACTGACATAAACTTTCTCCTCTACATACAATCTATATCTGCATGATGTCAGATGCAGACTGAGTATGGCAGTGTGACCTTATATATGCGTCCAGAGCTTTGCATTTAACACTAAACTGTGGAACAGCACCCGAGGATTCCAGGCACCATAAACACTTCAGTGATATGAAGTAGGTATAGTGCCTAAAGCATGCCTTTAACGAACTTATGTACTACTATGCGTGATATTAAAAATATATATATACTAGATAAGAAGATAATATAAAGAAACAAGACAATCATTGAAACTTGAGTAATTGAATTTTTTACAATAAGAAAAGTATATAAAATTCACAGGTGTGAAATTCAACTGTTGTCTTTAAAAAGCGATACATGTATTCCTAGTAAAACAAAATACCCTATTTCAACCTTGTATTTTCGGTTCGTGAATCCTGCCTTAAACAGATTCTATTTGTGCCTCACAAAAAACGGTAAAATGTCAATCTGAATTCTCCCCGAGTCAACACATGATTATTGCTAATAAAATCTACAGGAAACATAACTCTCATCAGCCTAAATATTGATGATATTATGCAATACTGGTGTGTTAGAAATACTACATTTTCTGTTAGTATGAAAAAGATTTGCATGCTTATTTATGGCCCAGCAAGCTAATACAGAACATAACACTTTCTATAATATCCCTCAACTTAAATTAAAAGCGTGATTAGGATACACAGTTAGTAGTCTTTAAGTGCATGTAATCATGTTATATTCTATAAAGTTAACAGATCTCCTTCAAAGTGGTATATTAGGATGCTCGTGTTGTCTCTGGGATTCATTTCTAGTAAACTGATGGAGATAACTTTCCCCTATCATCGGTCTCCTTCTTAAATAGCCCTCATTAGTCCCGTTACCTCGGTTACAGATGGTGCAGAAGTTGCTAGGTCCTTCGCTATGCTTCTTCAGATGGTCTGCCATGTATGCTGCTCGCAGATATTTCCCACACACTTGGCATGGCACTTTGTCCTCATGACATGCTAAATGTGAACGCAGTCGATCACGTGTGGCAAAAGAAGCATTACAAGTCTATGGGGTGATAGGGGAAAGACGTTATGGTCAATAAGCCTGTGTTATGGCAATAGTGTTTATTACGATATATGTTCTGCAGTTACATGTGCTGGCAAACAAAATCAGTGAAAAAATCAGTTATTCTTGGTAACTGCATTTCAGAAATATATCACCATTTTAATAATACAGTGGCAGTTTAAAGAGGTAGTAAACAAAACATTTGTTAAAGGGGCACTATAGTCACCGAAACAACTTTAGCTTAATGAAGCAGTTTTCATGTATAGACATCATGCCCCTACAGTCTCACTGCTCGATTCTCTGCCATTTAGGAGTTAAATCACTTTGTTGAGAAAGCCATCCTAACACCTCCCTGCATGTGACAGACAGCTTTCCTAAACACGTTCTGTAAAGAGTCATCTAATGTTTATACTTCCTTTATTGCAAATTCTGTTTAATTTAGAATTTCTTATCTCCTGCTCTGTTAATAGCTTCCTAGACCCCTGTATGTAACTAAAGTTCAAGTTAAAGATCAGCAGATAAAAACTTTTAAAGTAAGTTACTTCAGATTGAAAGTGAAATCATTTTGTTTTCATGCAGGCTGTGCAAGTCACAGACAGGGGAGGTGTGGCAAGGACCTCAGAAACAAAGTGATTTAATTCCTAAATGGCAGTGTATTGAACGGTGACTTCAAAAACATGATCTAAACCCAAAAACAGCTTAATTAAGCTTAAGTTGTTTTGGAGATATAGTGTTCCTTTAATATTAAATAACCAACAGCAATACACTAAAGACACATAGATCCAATTGCAATAAACAAAAAATAAAAATGGTATTTTATGTTTGCACTCTTAAATCCAAGAGGAATTAAAATAGTGCAAATTATATGATAGTGTTTTGTTTGTGCATAGTTATTGCTATTGGATCTATGTGCTTAAAATTTCACCCAGCTAACTATACCAGTTCTTCATGAATACCATGACAGAAGATTCTCTTTCATCAACGTAAGAATTCTACAAACTGTTGGTCAGCAGGTTACATGTAAAGCCCAACTGCAAATATAAAACACAATGTATTTAAAATTTAAAGGGGTATAAAAAGGACCAAAAAGTAAAAGATTACTTTGAAGCCCATTTAAATAAAATAGCTAGAACAGAATTTGCTTCTATATAAAAATGTATAAAAAGTAACCAACTGTATATTTAACCAAAGACCTTAATGAAATTTTTTTTTACTGCATATGTGAAAATCATTGTTAAAGGACCACTATAGTGCCAGGAAAACATACTAGTTTTCCTGGCACTATAGTGCCATGAGGGTGCCCCCACTCTCAGGGACCTCCTCACGCCGGGCTCTGGGAAGAGGAAGGGGTTAAATCTTACCTTTCTCCAACGCCGGGCGGGGAGCTCTCCTCCTCCTCTCCGCCTCTTCGGCTGAATGCGCATGCGCGGCAGGAGCTGCGCGCGCATTCAGCCAGTCTCATAGGAAAGCATTCATAATGCTTTCCTATGGACGCTTGCGTCTTCTCACTGTGATTTTCACAGTGAGAAGCACGCAAACGCCTCTAGCGGCTGTCAATGAGACAGCCACTAGAGGCTTTAAAGGCTGGATTAACCTATTTATAAACATAGCAGTTTCTCTGAAACTGCTATGTTTATAAAAAAAATGGGTTAACTCTAGCTGGACCAGGCACCCAGACCACTTCAGTAAGCTGAAGTGGTCTGGGTGCCTAGAGTGGTCCTTTAACCTTCATGGCTGTACCATTTGAATAATTTTGTTTGCATCCCTAGTTAAAAACAAAATCTCTACTCTCTCTATAAATATATATTTACATATATCTGAAGGCATGCACCTTTTTATTCTACCAATTTGCCTTCTCAGCTCACTTTCTGTTGTCTCATTTAAAAAACAAAAAACAAAAAAAAAACAGCGGTTTAAAAAGTGTTTATGAGCACATATAAAGGGAAGTGCATCCATCGCTTGTAAAATGAAATAGCCATGCAAACTGAAATGCACTCAGTGTTTGAAACCCTTTACATGTATATTTGTGACTGTGACACGTGGCTCTGATATAATGATTTAGTTTCTCACATACAGGCATATTTAAACAACCTCTGTAAAACACAATTACATACCCAACTCCACACCAACACATAAGGTAGTATATACCTATACACATTCAAGGACAGATAAAATGGCTCTTGAATCCTCACAGGCCTGAATTTCAAAAAAAGAAAGTCATACCTATACACACACAAAGATATACCATCACAAAGTCTATCACACTCAGGCAATTGTGACATACAAAATTTAAGAATGTTAACTGTGGCCTACCTGAATATAGAATCTCAGACTTTAAACTAAATACAGATTAATGAACAGCGCACACATAAAAAATACAGTTTGATATTTTCTAAAGCTACTTAAAATCACCTATCTCAGCAAACAAATATGGGGATTCAGTTCCACCATATCGAGTTAAGACACAATACGCCAATATCGGTGGATCCTACACTAATTCCAATGTGGGAGACAAATTACATTTGTTTAAATGTCTCCTTTTTCCCATTACCTCATTCACATCATCCCTTGGAGGTACCTTTGAATTTATATTGAGGACTATATAATAAGGACGATAGCATGATATAGATACAAAGAAAAAATCTTCAAAATCCCGCAAGGCATGATGGTTGATGTAGTTACATGCTTGCAAGGAGGAACTAACTTTCTGTTAATTTGCATTTTTTTATTTTTTTTACAGCATAGAGCATCACAGTCTTCGTAATATGGAAAAAGAACCAGAAGTGACGAACGAGATGAAAACACGTCACCACACCGGATTAACACCAGGTGACAATTATGCCCAATAAGAATATCGAATATCTGATATAGTTGGCTAAAACTGAAAGAAGGGGCGGATCACATGAGCGTTTTAAACGAAACCAGGAAGAATACAAACACATGCTGATTGAGAAAGCCCGTTGAGGGTGAAACACGTCATGGTGAAGGATAGAGAACATTGGATCAGTTACTTTTATACTTTTTATATTGTTCATTTATATTTGTTTAAATTATCCTTTATATTTACCTCTATCCTGGTGCATTGACATTCTATGGTTCCTGGATTTAAAGGGGGAGTGTTACAGGCTCTGAAGAAGGTGAGCAATTTTCCAATGACATTTGTGAACTATTATCAATGTGGATGTGAAAATACTACACATAGATTATATTTGTTATTAATTTCTTCTAGGTCGTGGATACCACAATCTGGAAATCCCTTTGAAAAGCCAGAGAGCTAAAGGTCTGGTTGCCACTTGTAAAGTGCGCACAAGTGAAATGTTTAGAGCCTATATCTAAAAGGCTCTGGAAAATGTGAGTTTGTATTATATATATATATATATATTATATATATATATATATATATATATATCTATGTGTATATATATATATATATATATATATATATATATATATATCTATCTCAATTCACATGCTATTAGTGTTGCACTAGATCTGTTTTTTCTTCTTTTTATTTTGTATATATATACCATCCCCCTGCATTTTTTGAGGGCTAAGTGTTTTACATATTTTATAGCACTGCACTCTCACTTGGTTGTTTCAGGTGGTGGGTGTATCACCTAAACACTGACTTTGTTTTTTGTATTTTTCTGTTTATTTGTTGGGCTTGTGGAGTTCCCGATCGAGTGTTTTTCAGCAGCTTTGAATTTTACCAAATAGGCGCCTTAGTGCTAAATGAACACTAGTGCTAAATGAACAAATTTGTGTATCACGTTGGAATTAGTGTAGAACCCACCGATATTTTGGAGCTGTGGAATAGTGGTGGGCTTAACACAATATGGTGGAACTGAATCTCCATAATGGTTTGCTGAGATAGGTGATTTTAAGGAGCCTTATAGAATGTAAAGATTTATATTTATGTGGGCACTGTTCTTTAATCTGTATTCTGTATACACTGTGGACTTTATGGCAGCACCTTTGCTGAGAAATGCATGTTCCCGCTGTGCCCCCAATTTATTTTTTGTTAATTGAATTAAACGGTCATTGCACGTTGTTATAGATTGAAATTCACAATCTATAATCTGCTGACAATGATAAAAAAAAAGAAAAAAACTCACTCCATGTGAGTATACAATGTGATTCTAATGTAGAATTCTAAAACACAATTTATCACAGGATGGGCCGCAAAAACTTGTCTGTGTGCTGTTCTCAGTTGCAGAATACAGGCCCTTTAAATCACCAGTCCCACTACCTACTTCTATTAAATATTTTTTTTCTCAATTTTTATGTCGAATTACCTGTCCTCCTCCTTTTTCCTGCTCATTGCGCACTTCACTTGGAAATCCTTCTGAAGTTTTCTAGTTTGGAGAAAAACGGGTGTAAAATCATTGTTTTGTGGCCCTCTGATTAGGAAAATGTGCCACCTCTGACCTTTATGACTTTTCCCTGAACACTGCATCACGGGAATATCAGCAGCGTCCATAGAGCAGTCTAATCCCATTCACACTAATGTCTCAGGTCAGTACAGACCTTAAATCTTTAAACTGAAAAAAAATTTATTAAATAAAAATACCACAACACATTTGATTTGCAAATGTTACCATAAATATAAACACTGTGATTATGTATCTGCTACTTGTGATGAAATGACTACATTGAGTATTGTCTTATCGAGACTCTATAACATTATCCTCTAGAAAAACTGGAACGTACAAGAGAAATAAGTGTTAGGATCCTGCAGGAAAAGAGACTTCTAAGTGGGACTGGTGCTTTAAGACATACAGGTTAAGTCACTGATGTTCTCTCTTTCTCGCAGGACCCTGTCCACCAGTCCCATCACATCCCCACCACCCTTCCAAAGTATCACCCCTTCATACCTCACACTTGTGGGGCCTTTCTGACGTGTGAACCTGCTTAATGTGTCCATTCAGGTGATCTGGCCTGTGAAAGAGATACACCAAATAAGTCAGTCAAATTCTACTCTCAAGTAATTACAAAAATGGAAAAACGGACAAATCTAATTCATACAAACTAGTATTCAAAATAGACATAATGGACCATAGAAAGGGTAAGTTGCGTTCTAGTAAGGATGGTATCATTGTAACAAAATATGTAACATATGCTATGATTGTAATGCAAGATACAAGTGTCAAGGCTCTATGGAAACTGCAGCAAAACCAATAACTACCACTAGAGAGGTGACTTGTGTGTGTGTGTGTCAATGTGGTTCTGGATTTCCTGTTTAGCATCAAGTGAGATGTAGCCCACAAGGGTGTGGGGGATACGGTTTTGCCATATCTGATAGCAAAGCACCCTTTGCACTCCTGAGATACAGCCTGAACGACGAAGTTGAGAGTATGTGACTTCATATTACATCCTTCAACTGCTGTGTCAGGATCGAAAGTTCAAAAGATTCCTGCTCGGGACCAAGTTCTCAATGCCAGTTTCCATTTCAAGAAAACTCATTATTTACTTATGTAATATATAAATCATAACACATTTAAAACTTGTGTTTGTGGACTACATCTCCCATGATGCTTAGTCAGACTTTGTCATGCAATACAAAAGCATATAGCAGAATGTTTAAATAAATAAAATTAATTTAAAAAAAAAAAAAAAGGGGGAATTCCACAATATATACAACAACAATAAGGCAGTTGCATAGAATCTACAGAATAATACACATAATGGACAATAAGAAGAGTATGCAGAAGGTTTGTAGCATAGTGCAGAGAATGTACAATGTACAGAGAAAGCAAAGTGTATATAGCTGCATCACAGATTTATATTATCTCCACATGCAATAGAAAAGGACAATCCACTTTAATAGGTAGCAGCTGAAAGTAACCCATTTTATAGCCACATTTCTTAGGGTTCATTGATAATTATTATTTTTGCCGATTGAGCTACAAAATATAAAATGAACCGCTTTTATTCTACCTATATACCTTCCTAGAGGTATTGGTCTGTATGTGAGCGTGTCTTCTTAAAACATTAATATGAATGTGATTTGAGAATAGGTTTGTACCGGTTATGTTTATTTTACTAATTAATTTATGTGTATTTGTTTGCCTTCATGCTGAGAATTGCAGTGAGATGAAAACAATGTGTGTTTATGTGGGGGGAGGGGGCTGCATTTCCTCACTCACACATGCTCAGTAACAGACCACCCACCCCTTCAAGGGGGTGTATTCTACAGTTTCCTAATGGGGGAGGAGAGTTTCTCTTTGTGCTTTTTTCAGATTCACCCCCTTCATTTTGGCCAATCACAGGACTTATGTAGGGGGGGGGGAGGGAGCCAGAGGGTGTCCCTGGTGCATACTGTCTGAGATGGCGTCCCATGGGCAAAGGGTGTGTCACAGTGAGGATTTAGAGCTGCATATCTTGTATATGCACAGCATATCTGGCCAACAGGTTATATATATATATATATATATATATATAGTTTCCATACATTAGAACTATCCCAAGCAAAGGAAGAGCAGTCTCACATCAAGGTGCTGACTGCAGGAGTGGGAAATAATGACCATCTTCCATAACAAATATTTCAACTTCTTCAGGGTTGCAAGGTGAAATGTTTCCATGAAAACAACTTGTAGCATTGTGTTACATGATGCACTGAATTATTGTACGTAACTATCTATACTAGTATTCAGTACAGCTTCATGCCTACTGATCCTGTTCGAAGCAAATTTGTTTTTTTAATTGCTTCAACAGGTGCCACAACATTTATTTTTTTATAAGTAGCCTGCAGACGTACATCTTAACAGTGAATGCAAAGTAAGCTTAAAATTATTCTCCTGGAAGTTTGATCAGTTATGCCATAGTTTTAAACATTTTTTTTCCCTCCTGCTTAAGTTTTAATTTAAAAAAAAAAATTTTTTGTTATCCTGATTTTCTTAGAATTGTAATGTTCATCTGTGATTTACCCGCTTCTGCTTTCCCACTACATGTTAAAAATCCAATTAAAAAAAAAAAGTTCTCTCTTAAAACAGCTAACAGAGGACATGAACCTTTCAGATATATATGCTCCCTTGCCAATTGTCAAATCGATCCACCTATAAAAGGCAGAATACATTGCGCTTTCTTCGCATGCCTGAAATGGGATTTCCCTGTGCTGCCATGATCACTGCATTTCATTTCTTTACACTGCTACAGCTCATTTGTTAGCTCTTTATCACGTTACCTATTACCTCACATGCATTTTATTAATTTAATGGTATTACTCATGAACCTTTTGTACAGCGCTCCAGAAAATGTTGACTCTTTATAAATAGTAATGCATACAGACAACTCATGTTTCAGATCTACTCAGGCCAGTTGTGACGATCTTTGTGCACTCACCTAGAGAATCCCTTTCCACAGCTCTGGCAAATGTAAGGCTTCCCTACAGAACCATCATGTGATCGGACATGGTAAGACATTCTGTCTTTGCGTTTGAACTTCAGTCCACACACCGGGCAAGAGTATGGTTTCTCTCCAGAATGAGAGAGCTTGTGACGATTAAGGTGATATACATCCCGGAAGATCTTCCCACACAGTTCACAAGCTACTTGTTTTCTTGCTCGGTTCCTCTTTATAGGGGTGCCATTTTCTTCCTGCCCCAGCCCATTCTCACTTAAGCGGGGGGGCTGCAGGTCTCCATAACCAAGCTGTATGCTGGTCACTCCATGCTGGGCCTCATGCTGCCGCAGGCGCAGGGGATCAGTGAATACTTTATCACAAAGTCCACAGGGGAGTACCACTCCTTCCCGCAACCCACCCACTGCTCCAAACAATACTGAATCTAAAACACTGGGTTTCCGTGGCCGTCCACGCCCTCGCTTTCCTCCTAGGCCTTGAGCTCCTACTTGGAATTGGGCAGAGAGCATCTGGGGTGATCCACCGAGGGCAAGAAGCGAGGCCTGGCTTGGCACTGCCGGCCCCGGTCGAACTGAATCTTCCTCCTCATTCCCAAGCGATCCTGCAATTCCTGAACTTCCCATGGTGGCCCCATTAGTCATGTCCAATGGGAATCCAAGGTCAGCAGCCCCTGACCTGAATAACATGAGTTCTGGTCGTGCAGGGGGGACCAGTATTTGCACATTGGACTGCTTGATTACCTCCTGGCATATATCAATAACAGATCTCATTAGCAGGAACTTGGCAGCAGTCATAAGTTCAGGGAAACTCTCCAATCGAATCACAATGCGAGCAGTGTACGCAAAATCCAAAATGTCCCCAAACACTTTGGAACTGATTGTGTGCATCTCAAGTTCTCTGGGGATCGGGCCTTCTGATTCTCCCAAAACAGACTCAAAATATTGGCTGCAGGCAGCCAGCACGGCACGGTGTGCTGGAAAACTATCCTCCCCTACACGGAGTATCACATCACAGAAACGACCCCCAGTTTTCCGCTGTTGGTTGAGCTGCTGCAGAACATCTGAGCTGTGCTGGCTCACCTGGTAGGTGTAGAAGGATGGACCACAACCTTCTGCAAGACGTTCCATGATAGAAGGGAGTTGTGTTCTAAGGAATGTAATGGTAAAAAGTTGTTCTGTGTAAAAACTAGATGAACAAGGGTATTTAATACGGTTTATAACAGACATAACCTGGCAAAGCAAATAGATGTCTCAAATGCACAACATTAACCCCTTAAGGACACATGACGGAAATATTCCATCATGATTCCATGTTATTCCAGAAGTTGTGTCCTTAAGGGGTTAAAGTAATCGCATGGTCAGCAATGAGATAAGGGGGCAATATAACTATACATAAAGGAGTGTATAATTTTCTACCCAATATTAAAGAAGAGATGTGTTGCAGCCCCTTGGGAATACATGAATGAGATTCTTCTGTTGCTAAGATTATAACCAGTTTGGTTGCATAAATTGAAAAAAAACAAAACTAGCGAATTTAGATGCAACATGAGTAATGGAACATTGGAAGTGTATGGATTATATTGCCCACATGGTTGTCACAGGAATTCAATATGAATGTGTATTTTATCATGTATTGGTAGCTCAGTTTTTCATTTCAAGGCCCCAGTGAGCACAGTGGGCTATATTACCGAGCAATAAGATAAAATAAGCAAAAGGGTGCTGTTTAAGACCAGTGTAACTCTAAAGTAGGCTACATGTGGGCCTTTCTATTCCACTACAGAATGTACTACATGGCAGTGGAATAATATAACAGGGTTTAGAGAGGTGCCTTTTGTGGCAGGCGGGGGTGTGAGAGCCCAGATATTTGGTGTACTAACTAATCAGAAGTAGGGGGGGGTGAATACTGAAAGATGTCCTGTAGGCACTATATATCTTGGGGTGCAGGGGATTGGGTGAAGTATATGGGGGAGGTTTTATTAAACTGAGTGTATGGGGGCGGGGTGGTTTAGGGTTATGCTTATTCTGGGCCTGTTGGAACTGAGGGGCGTTTTGGGGCGACCTGTCCTATATTGGGGGGTCTACTTGATGTCACCTGGGTGCGCGTATCCGCCCGGCTCCTCCCCCTTTCCGAGATCGGGAACGCGCTGCGCGGGCCGGTGTGTTCCTGGGCCCCGGTGCTAGCACTCGGTGTCGGGTCGCACTTCTTCTTATTCTTCTGCACCACCGAAACCGAGACCCCCAACCGGACACCGGGACCCCCCCCGCATTGGGCACACGGGCAGCTGTGACCGGATCCTCCGCAGTCTCTTTGTGTCTGATTCCCCCCCCCCCGGCTAAGAATCTGTGTCCGCCCCCCCAGGTCCCCCTCCCTATGAGCACTCCCCCCGCCCCTGTGAGCAGGCTGGGAGACCCCGCACATGCCGACCCCCCCTCCCCGCCACTCACCCCTCCCGGGATAATATCCATGCACATCATAAGCACTGGGCAGCCAAAATCAGGATAGTCCAACAATACATTAATTGCCCCCCACCCCAAAAATTGTGTGTGTACACAGAGATAAAAACCCACCCCAATACAAGAACTGTTACAGATACACCCACATAACATACAACATATACACTTATTGGTAAGCAGGCAGTGATAGAATTGACTACAAATTAGTGCACATCAGTTTGCTGTAGATCCAAATAATTATCATCTCTCCCAAATCAAGAATCATCTTTTAAATCTTGTACCAACATCTAATATATGTATAGTCTCACCTACTGCTTATACATGACTTCACTTTGTGTCCTAGGCAGCTCTGCCACCTTACTATAGCTCGGGGGATAGAGTCATTCTTTTTTGCAAAAAAAACTAAATCTCTACACTTTTATATATTTGTGTCTGTCATGAGAAACCTTCCACCGTGCACCAAAACTAATGCTAAAATTATCACATCTCGAAAATGAAATATAATGATAGAGATTCAGATATAAATTTAAAAAAAAAGGTGCCAAAAAGAGACAGATTAGAAGTGACTCACTTTTATACATAGCCCTATTGTGTTAAACCAGTTGAGGATCCAAAAAGTTAATTTATAAATTTCTTCTTCAGCAACATGAACTAGTTTAGACAATGCTGGACTGTATGCAACACGTTTGCAAAATACATAGTTCAAGATGATTTTCAGAAACAAAACAAGGTGTTACGCATATTTACAAGACAGCTAAAGTAATAAATGAGCAAATAATACTTAGCATAAGATAAGCATATGGGAGAAAACATTTTAATTGATAACTCATTCTCGTATGACTTTATAGAGGCACAGATTATACATTCTGCTGATGTTACCGGGTGGTGGGATTATCCCAAACACCAAGAGTTGTTATAAATTACCTAATCTTGTAAAACCAAGGATTGGTAACCCCTGGGTATATTTGCTGTTTTACTCCAAAAATATATACAATGCAATTTCACAGCATAAAACCTTTCACAATTGGTGGTGGGGGGAGGAGGGAGGGGGTGAATTACTAACAGAAATGTTTATATGTAATATACGCTATGCACACAGCTAAACTGCCTTAGGTAAGGACACACCAGTAAAGTTGCACAAAACACAAGGCCCCTTTGGTAACACAGCCCAATAAATAGGCTGTGGTCATTCTTGTCCCATTCTGCTATGGAATTCTTAGCCAAAAATTAGTTGATAGAGTTGTAGATAGTTCCTTGTTTTGGTGTTCTGATTTTTGCATACTGATTTTTGTCATTACAAAAATAATCAATACATTTTGAAACAAGGTATTAGATAGTTATCTCTGTCCAATCTTTGCTACGAAGTCAACAGTAATCTGGTTCTCCAGGGTTTAGTTCATTCTCAAACCATCATGCAACATGCTAGCACACACATGGGCATTTTCTATCTTCATTTGTATTGTGCCAGGATTGAAATGTTTTTTCAGGACAGAGTAAACCATAATGTTGCACAATTGCAGCTAGCACTGCAAGCTTTTACCAGTGGCATAACTAATCAAGGTTTTTTTATTTTTTTTTTATTGAGGAAATAAATATACAATACAGAAAGATGAGAGATTTAGGATAACAAAAACACAGCATAAAAATAATACATAACATAAAATCATACTCCTTTGCAAATTCACCTCATTTTAATTTTTTTTTATTCAGTAACAAATAGTGAGAACAGCTTTATGGCCAGGTCATGTACTCAAGTCTAAACAAGATATAACATAATAGCTCATATGCAGATTATGTGTTTTAGGCCTGAGATGCTTAACAAACACATTCGAGTAGTAAGGAGCATGTTATAATGTAGTTTTAAGCTAAACTGAGTAATTGCAAACTAAGCTAGCAATAGCAACTGAGCTTAAGTACCACTAAATACACATCACCAGAAAGGAGTTAAAGTGGCACTGTCATGCCGAACTTACCTTTCCCCAATCGCTTCATCTTCTCTTCCTCTCTCAGTATCTGATCTTCATTTCTTCCTGTCTGATCTAGTTTTCTTTAAAACATAAGACAAAGTAGGGACTACTTTGTGTTATGTATTTTTCCTACGCTTGTCCAGCTCAAGTGGGTCAGAGAAATTTTCCCACAATTCTCACCTTTCCTCCGTGATGCCTGCTTTCACTATTCCCGAATTTCCTGTCATTTAGACAGAACGCCGGCGAAACTACCGAATTTCGCCCTAACAGAATGAGAACAGTTTGTTCATTCATGTTAGGACGCAATTCGGTACTCTTATGTCTGTTCGTAATTTCATTTGAATAAATGAAATTCCAATCCGGGCTGTGGCTGTATCTTGCAGCCGCTTAGTCGATAGCTTCCTAATTCCATCAGTATCAGGGAGCAATCTACCAAAAGGCTGAAAGACCTTTCAGCTAAGATTAAAATCACTTAGTATTAGTAAATAATCTGCCCCTAAACCACGAATAGGGGTATGTCTAATAAACAGTGAGCAGCCTGTGGTGGGGCATCTATTAACTAGCGGAGGAGCACATAATGTCCCCCCTATGCCCCCACCCATGCCCTGCAAGCGGCGGGTGGGGGTCCTAAAAGACAATACGGGGAGGGGAACTCTTATTCCCCCCTCTGGCCCCCACCCATGAGTGGTGGGTGGGGCCCTAAATGAAAAGGGGGGGCTATTGTCCTCCCACGGCCTCCACCCATGGGCAGCGGGTGAAAGCCCTAAAAGAAAATGGGGGGATGACTTATAACCGCCCGGCCATAAATGACAATGGGGGGGAGGGGGGGAGACCTATTGTCCGGCCCCCACCCATGAGCGGCAGGTGGGGCCCTACATGAAAATGGGGGGACCTATTATCGCACCGCCGTGGCGAAGGGTGGTGGCCCTAACGGACAATTATCTATTATCCCACCCGTGGGTGGGGGCCCTAAATGAAAATGGGGGGTGATTTGGGTAGGTAGGGCTTTATTTAATTTTTTTGGGTAGTGACTATGAGACCCCGAGTCACCTGGGGTGGGGAGTATTTTTACATGTAGCCCCCACCCGCCACTCATAGGTGAGGTCCGGGGGTGAGGACCATAGGTACATCCCATCCCCATTGTCATTTAGGGCCCCCATCCATCGCCCATGGGTGAGGGCCAGGGGGATAATAGATCCACCCATTGTCCGTTAGGGCCCCCACCAGTCCTCCATGGGTGGGGGACGGGGAGATAATAGGTCGCTCGCCCCCATTTTCATTTAGGGCCCCCTCATGGGTTAGGGCCGAGGGGAGGACAATAGTTGTCCCACCTCGTTTTCATTTAGGGCCACCACCCGCTGCTCATGGGTGGGGGCCAAGGGGGACCCTATGTCCCCCGTTTAGTTGCATAGCCCCCACTCGCGCATAGCCATGGGGCCATTTGTTGGAGGGGGGACTTTTTTTACATCAGCCTCAGGCTGCTCACTGTTTAGTCGACATGCCCCTACTCGCGGTATTGCACGTAGGCACATTCGGGAGATTTCAATGTCCGTTTTGCTATTATGGGGGTCATACTGACCCCCAAAGAGTGAGGGTGGACAAGGGAGGCTTAGTAAGTGGCGGGGATCACAGATCCCCGCCGCTTCTATTTTTACATATTACAAGGAGGGAGCTGTCAGCTGGTAGCTAACTCCTTGTAATAAACTGAACAAACGAACGAACACCGATATTCTTTCGGACGAATGAACAGACGAAATTTCCATTTCGGACAATAGCGAATGCCCAATATATTCCTGACCCTGTATTGTTAAAACCACCATCTAGCCCCCCCATACCTCCCTAAATATAGTAAAATCTTACTTGTATCGCTGGCTCTGCCCTGCCTGCTGTCATTACCAGATGTGGTGGTCTGAGCCAATCACAATGCTTCCCCATGGGATTGGCTAAGACTGTCAAGGAGGCAGAGCCAGCACAAGTCAAACACAGTCCGTACCAATCAGCATTTGTATTGAATCAATGTATCTGTATGAGGAAAGTTCAGCTTCAGCATGCAGAGGGTGGAGTAACTGAATGGCAGTACTGCACAGTGTGCAGCACTGCCCCAGGAAGCACCTCTAGCAGCCATCAGAGGAGTGGCCAGTGGAGTTATCACCAGGCTGTAATGTAAACACTGCATTTTCAACGAAAAGACAGTGTTTACTGCAAAAAACCTGAAGGGAATGATTATACTCACCAGAACAAATGCAATATGCTGTAGTAGTTCTGGTGACTATAGTGTCCCTTAAACAGACTGAGTTGTTGAGAAAAAACAAATAAAGTGTATAAGGAGGTGGGAGGGCTTAACTTTAGGAAAGAGGGAGTGGGGGAGGGGAGACAAACGCTTCCCTTTGCAGAGAATTGACATTTGGCAGTCTGGAACGTGTGCAGTGTAACTAACCCCCCAGCACACCATTGACATATTTCAGCTTGAGCAGTGTTCCAAGCAGAAAACCTGCACATACAGACTCTCACCACCATGACCACTTCTAAAAGCAGAAGTGGTCATGGTGGTTGGAGTAGCTCTTTAATTAAAAGGGTTAGTCCAACCCCTATACAAAAATCCCCCTTTAAAAAAAAAAAAAAAACCTGTAAAAAAGGTTTCAACTTAACTGGAATCCATCATTGGACGAACTTCCTTTCACGGTCTTCAATGCCAGGTCCTGATGTCATCCTGGCACTCGCACATTCCAATCACAGGTTATTAAGCTGGCGACAGGTGGGATATTTAAAAGAAAAATCCTAATCAAGTTACAGATGGAGGAGGGACAGAGTGCAGACAGGGTGGGAAGGTAGGAGAGGGAGACTATCTCCACTTGCAGGGTTGCCAGCAAGCTAATGACAGCCGTAAAATATGCACACAACTGACATTAGTAAAGTCACATGTGCTAGGGTTGCAACTAGCCCCCAGATCATAATTAAAAAGAACCCTGCATGTGCAATCCAGACTCCTACCACCATTACTACTTTAAAATCACTGAAGTGGTCATAGTGGTTGACGTTATCATTTAAGCAGTTTTGGTGTATAGAACATGCCCCTGCATGTCTCAAAGCTCAATTATCTGCCATCTAGGAGTTAAAGGGACACTCCAGGCACCCAGACCACGTCTGCCCATTGGAGTGGTCTGGGTGCCAACTCATACTACCCTTAACCCTGCAACTGTAAATATTGCAGTTTTCATAAACTGCAATATTTACCTTGCAGGGTTAACTCCTCCTCTAGTGGCTGTCTATTAGACAGCCACTAGAGGGCACTTCCGGGTTTATAGCACAGATTTTTTTGTGATACAGCATCGCTGGACGTCCTCACGCTATGTGAGGACCTCCAGCGTCGCTGAAATTCCCATAGGAAAGCATTCTCAATGCTTTCCTATGTGGAGGTCTAATGCGCGTGCGTGACGTTGCCACGCATGCGCATTAGGTCTCCTCCGTCGCTGGTCACGCTTGCGCAATAGGTCTCCCTGGGCGGTCCCTGAACCAGTGCCGAGGGACATCGGCGCTGGATACAGGTAACCCCTTCAGCAACCTGGGATGGGGGGTCGGAGGGAGAGCGGACCTGCAGTGCCAGGAAAACGGTTTGTTTTCCTGGCACTGGAGAGTCCCTTTAAAACACTTTTGTTTTCGTTTATGCAGCCCTAGCTACAGCTACCCTGGCTGCTACTCACACATAGCCTGCGTTAAAAATCTTTTTTTTCATTTTCAATCAGATGTGACAGAACATTGTGCATACTCTAGACGTTTTTATCTCCTGCTCCGTTAATTGAAATTAATCATACATACAGGAGGCTCCTGTAGGCTCTAGCAAACTATTAACAGAGAAGGAGATAATAAATTCTAAATTAAACACTGTGTAATAAAGGAAGTTTAAACATTAGAACTCTTTACAGGAAATGTGTAGAGAGACTGTAGGGAGGTATGGTTAGGGCTGCATTAACTAAGTGATTTAAAACTTAAATGGCAGAGTGTTGAGCAGTGATACTGCAGGACATGATCTATACAGAAAACAACACTCAGGTAAGCTAAAGTTGTTTTGGTTCTTATAGTGTCCCTTTAAATTCACGTCTAGTGGCTTCCTGACAGCCTTTAGAGGTACCGAGTAAAACCTGGTCCCGTGACGCAGAAGCTCATAGTAAAGCACTGGATACAATGCTTTCATATGGGTCCACTGTGTGGACCATGTTAGTTGGTTTTATTTAAAACAAAAATGTAAAGTGCAAGTTAAAATGTAGAGATTTCCACAAATACATTTTTTTTCCAGTTTAGTAACTAAATCCCTAAATTGTAACAGAGAACCTCTGAAAATGAAACTTGTATCCAACAATAACCATACAGCAATAATTTCAGTGACAAGGAAATAAAAGACACATGCCGATGGTAACATACTGAAAAAAATATTTTAAAGAAGCTGTGTCACTTTCAGGGTCTTTGCATACTATGTAGTAAATAGGGTTTTATGTAAAAACAGTACAGGAGGAAAGACCATTCCAGAGTAACAAGTTCTACATAAAAGAATACCATAATTTTTGCAGAGACTTATTATGACTGATCAGTGGAATATTAAAGGAACACTCAACACTACAGCAAAATTGTTTTAGAATGGTTTGACTTCTTACAAGGGGTCAATTGGGCACTGATCTCTGCCAACAGAGAGTCTGAAACTCCCCTATAGACCTACAGTGCACAGCTAGTTTACTGGCTGTGAGTGTCATCTGGTCACTCTCAGCCAATAATATAGGTAGGTCCTGCACAACCAGGTGCAGTTGTGAGCTGCTATAGATAAAAATAAATAAGAAGATAATATTTAATAGAAAAAAGATGTAACAAGGAGCTTCTATGTGTGTCCATGGTCTCAACCCAGCAGAGAAACTCCAGTTCACTGTTCTCAATAGGATTAAGAGGCACATAAAAAAGTGACGATAATGTCCCAACATAAGGTCTACGTCTCATTGTTTGCTATAGAGAGAGAGAATGTTCAACTATTTCTTCAGAGGGGCCACCTTGAGGACACTTTCAGAACCACCACCTGGAAGTCAGGTTGTAACCACCAGGAATACAGAATAAAGTGGAACAGCAGGACTCACTGGGTTTATCCTAGTCTCATAAAAGGCTAATCCAACAGAAGAGAGCCTTAAAATCAGGTAACCTAAACCTGCAACCCAATAGCACCCTGTCTCTCTGCCATTACACCAGAGTCACCCTGAGGGAGTCCAGTTACCTACACAGCACCACTATCCAAGCTATCCACTCAGCTACACAATTAAAAGTCTGGAACTCTAGCCACAAAAGTCCTCAACCTTTCCCATGTCAGGACTGCTAGGATGGTAAAACATGATTGGTTCACCTGGCAACATATGAAATGGCAACTTCAGCTGTTCAATAAAACAAAATCCAACATAAAGCAAAGTAGGTTAAATGCCTTTTAAAAAAATACTGTCCACAATGTAGAGAGTGACAGCTAACTTTATAAATACGAATTAAAAGGGAAACCCTTCTGGCATCGCCAGTGAGCCTTTTCCTCCCTCAGTAGTGTCATGACGAAATATGTCATAAAGCCATGACAAAATTGCACCAGTAAATCTGAGACAAGTCCATCCTAGCGGATTACGCAATGAACATGACTATCATATCTGTCACAATGAAGGTTATCGATCAAATGCATGCATTTAAATTTAAAACGGGCCTCAGTATCAATTGGAGGTGTTCCTTGTGTATTAACAGAAAGCCTGATTGTTAATATATAAAATCAGAGACACCAATCTTGTAAATAAACCAGTGAACGAGCTGGCCTGGATCAGCAGTATTCAGAGGTGTGTAGCTGAAACAGAATAAAATGTTGTTGGACCCTCTTGGTGTTCTGGCCTCGCCTCGCTTTGCACATTTTGCAAAGACTCCTAAAGGTGACATGTTGATTTTGTTTACCTGGCAGCCAGGGGGTGAAGCGTGCTGAGGTGGCGCGCCTAGTTTTTGAGCGCTAACCTCCAGCATGGTGGCCATGATGTATCTCACTCTACGCTTTACCTGCTTGGATGGATTTCCCTCACTGTGGTCCCTGACTTCATATCTTGGTCATAACACACAGTGGCCGGCAGGTTAGCCTCACCCTTCATTAGAGGTGTCCTAGGTGACACATGCTAGCTACCTGTATTTATATAGCACAAACATATTCCACAGCGCTGCACAAATGGAGGCAATACCAGAACTGTATTTCAATAAACCAAGCTAGACACTTAGTGTACCTGCTATGTACATGTTACCTTTAAAACATAATTACACTGTCAGTAAGCGTCTCACGGGCACTGGCCCAAACCCTCTGACTTTCTGAACCCAGCGTGTACCATAGAGCAGGACTAAACACGTGGAAAGAAAGTCACTTCCGCTTACGAGACCTGGCCTCTGACGTCATTTCCGGTGTTCCGTTGCCCGGCTCTGCGCCTGCCCAGTGAGTTGCTGTTCCAGCTGAGCCCCGTGCCAGGTCACCGGCCGGTTTCTGGTGTTGCAGCGAGTTGCGTTGCCGTCACCATGAGCGGGACATTGGCGAAGATCGCCGAGATCGAGGCCGAGGTGAGGGATAACTTTCGGTGTTCCTGCAGATTGCACTTACTCAGTCACTTAGCTCGAACACGTGTGGGTTTCAGAGAGGGCCAGCAGCACATTGGGCATCAGGCTGTATGGCCCAGGGTGGCGGTTACATGGGCAAGGGTGGCCAGGGTGGCGGATACATGGGCCAGGGTGGCGGATACATGGGCAAGGGTGGCGGTTACATGGGCAAGGGTGGCCAGGGTGGGGATACATGGGCCAGGGTGGCGGATACATGGGCAAGGGTGGCGGATACATGGCCCAGGGTGGCGGATACATGGGCAAGGGTGGCGGATACATGGCCCAGGGTGGCGGTTACATGGGCAAGGGTGGCCAGGGTGATACATGGTCCAGGGTGGCGGATATGTGGCCCAGGGGGGCGGATATGTGGCCCAGGGTGGTGGATACATGGCCCAGGGTGGCGGATGATACATGGCCCAGGGTGGCGGATGATACATGGCCCAGGGTGGTGGATACATGGCCCAGGGTGGCGGATACATGGCCCAGGGTGGTGGACGTGTGGCTCATGTTGGCTATGGTGGTGGACAGTAGGTAACAGCCTTTCACTGTACTTTGCAGATGGCCCGGACTCAGAAGAATAAAGCCACAGCACATCACTTGGGTCTGCTGAAAGCTCGCGTGGCCAAGCTGAGGAGGGAGCTGATCACACCGAAAGGAGGTGGAGGAGGTGGTCCAGGAGAAGGTATGTGTGCCCTGGTACTTTGCTTACTGGACCATATGGTGCGCTCTGTACATGAAAGTATTCATTCTACGTTATTATTAGTAGCCTGTTTCCAACACTCTTGAATGTGCTTTAAAAAATAAATTTAAAAAATTGTCTACAAGTCACACACGGTAACAGTCTGCTTTCCCGCATTTTATCAGTCTCCCTCAATGGTCCGAAACTTTAGTGCTGCTGGATGATAGACCTAATTCCTCTGAATGCAGTTTGGTGGGTCATGAAAAATGCTGTCATGTTCTATACAGAAGATTCAGCTACCAGGAATTTGGGGTTCTGGAAACCCTTGGGTGTGAGCATTACGGTTTCATACAGTTTGTACTCTCACCAGGTTTCGATGTTGCAAAGACTGGAGATGCTCGAATTGGATTTGTGGGATTCCCTTCTGTGGGAAAATCTACACTGTTGAGTAACTTGGCTGGCGTTTACTCTGAAGTGGCAGCCTATGAATTCACAACTCTGACCACAGTGCCTGGAGTCGTACGATACAAAGGAGCCAAAATTCAGGTGCTCAGACCTTTTGTTTTTATTTAATTTTGGAAAGGGGATTAAAGTGTTAGATGATTACGTATTTGATAAGTATCCACAACACCACAGGAGTCTACTGCCACAATGTGTAGCTACAGGTCAAGAGCAAAATGTGTGTAAATGGATGCAACAAATACAAACTGCACCACACTGCAGAAACCTGCATTTTAATGTAATGCAAAACAAGACTCTTCCAGATCTTCTGAAAAGTTTTTAAGGAGCCCCTTATCCTAGCCGTTAAGTTGTCCATCAAGTGGATCTCTTTTATCCTGTTTATCACTCCTGCCATAGGTGGTGTGCCTGGTTTCAGCCACTCTGAGGCTACGGTTCTCCTAGCTGCTAATGTAATTTTGTGGATGAGCTTTTGTTCATGCCTAGTCCAACCATCTATGGATCTGTTTAATAAGAATAGCCATGGATCTAGGTCTGGGGCTCTAGAAAAAACCTGCGACAACAGGGCCTGTATTCGTTTCCAGAATTTAACCATCTGAGGGCATTCCCACCACATGTGGACATAAGTCCCCCGCAAGCTGCAGCCCCTCCAGCACACATCTGTAGGTTTTTTCTCTCATTTGATGTAGTTTAATCGGTGTAGTATACCAGCGAAGCATAGTTTTGACAGATTGTTCCTGTAGGGTAACGCGTACGGAAGAGATATGGTTAGCCTCCCGAATCTCTTGCCATTCTATGCCTTCCAGTATTTCCGTATAGGCTAGCTTACCCCAATCCCCGGCTTCTGAACAGAGGTGAGCATACATAAGCATTATCATGCCTTTAGGTATGGTTTCTTGAAGGCAAATGCGTTCAAAGAAAGTCATCTTTTGCAGGGCTGCCGCTTTGATGTGTGCTAATTTTGCGTAATCTTTAAGTTGTATGTATTAGAAAAAAGCTGAGGGGGCAAGGTGTCCCCGCTGTCTTAACGTATCTCAAGAGATGACCTCTGTTCCCTGATACAATTGGCAATTGCGTTGTAACCCTATTCGCTCTGTTTTTGAAGGCTCTAGCTGTCATTCCAGGGGGCAAAGGCCTTATTGCGTAAGTATGGCATTAGAGGAGACGGATCAGATGCTAAGTGAAACTTATGTTTAAGAGAGTCCCACATCCTCAAGGAGTTGATTATAGTCGAGCAGGTGGCCCTTATCTCGGGTCTGTGTTCTTTAGGGACCCACATGATGAGCTGTGGAATGTCCGCGCCCGTCATGAGAGATTACACGTCTGCCCATTTTCGGTCTCTTGGGGGAGAGTGCCACATTGCCACTTGAGTCAATTGAGTCGCTGCATAATAGTAATATATGTTTGGGAGACCCAGGCCCCCTCTTGTCTTTTGCCTATGTAGAATGTATCCTGAAATTCTGTCTCTCTTGTTCTGCCATACGAAGGACCCTATAGCCCTCTGCAAGGGCTGCAAGGACGATCTGGGGATACGGATGGGCAGCGCTTGAAACAAAAACAGAATTCTAGGCAAGATGTTCATTTTAACAGCGTGAATTCTGCCTATACACGAGATGGGTCTGTCCATCCACCTCTCCATCTCCCGTATCAGCTGTTTCATCAACGGTGTATAATTTTGATCGTATAATTTTTGCTGTCAGGCGAACACCTAGATATTTAAGTGACTGTTGTACCATTCGTATTTGGTGTGTGTCATGTATGAGGGTTGTTGCCGTCGTCGATACCCCTATTGGGAGGGCGCTAGACTTCGCCATGTTTGCTTTGTACCCTGAAATAATCCCAAAGTCCCTTAGCACCCCCTGCAAGGCTCCCATTAAATTCACCGGGTCGGTGAGCGCTAGGAGCACATAATCCGCATAGGCTGAGACCAGAAATTCCCTGCCTCCCACTTTGACACCCTTAACGCCCGGGTGGCGCTGTAATGCCTGTAATAGGGGTTCTAACGACAGTACAAATAGGAGAGGGAGCACCCCTGTCGAGTACCATTAAAAAGGTGGAAAGGGCGGAGCGGGGCTCCTGAGATTTTCACCTGCGCTCGGACGTTAGTATACATCGCTCTAAGTAAGGTCGTGAAGTGTTCAGGGAACCCTAGATGGGTCAGGAGCGTGAACAGGTAAGGCCACTTCACTCTGTCAAACGCTTTTCCGGCATTGAGTGAAACAAACGTTGGAGTCTTAGTGGCCACCTGTCTCCATATCAAGTCTATATATCTGCGAGGGTTTCGAACAGTTGTCTGTCCGGTATAAAACCAACTTGATCAGCATCTATCAAGTTCGCTAAGAAGGGGTTGAGCCGTTTTGCTTGTATCTTTGCCAAGAGCTTCTTATCGTGATTTATGAGAGATATCGGCCTATAGCTGCCCGGTGAAAGAAGACTTCTGTCAAGTGAGGAACAAGTTCCTCGCAAAATGTCTTGTAGTAACTACCGTCGAATCCGTCAGGTCCTGGGGCCTTGTTCCCTTTTAAAGCTGATATTGAATGATCTACTTCGTCAGGGGTGATTTCAGATGCTAGGATATCAACTGCCTCCTGTGGTAGCTTGGGCAGTCCCAGGTCTTTCAGGAAATTGCGGGTTGCGTCCTCGTCTCTCATTGTCATTGTCTCTGAGTTTGGGGAATGATTGTAGAGGGATTTATAGTAATCAGTAAAAACCTCTGCTATGTATTTGGGCATCTTTTTGACCGAGTTATCTGGGTGTCGGATGGATGTGATTGTGTCCTCGTCTCATTCTTGGTTTGAGGACCCTGGCTAGAAGGTATCCATATTGTTGGCCCATTTGTAAAACGTCCTTTTGGACTAATTCATGGCTCTAGCAGTATCGTCTAGTAACAGCGTGTGTATGGCATGTCGTGTAACTCAGTCTTTTTTGGGCTTTCATCTTCTTTTTAGCCGTCGCTAACTTAATAAGGGACCCTTGAATGACTGTTTTATGTGCTGCCCATACTGTCTCTGGGCGCAAATCTGGAGTGGCATTGGTGTCAAAGAACTCCTGAATGTCTGTGCGGATCTGTTCGACAATCTCTGGGTCTTGCAGTAGGGATGAATTTAGTTTCCACGTCTATGGGGAAGCAGTACAGAGGTTCCCCAGGGTAATGTGAATGTCTGCGTGATCGGACCAAGAGATGGAACGTATCTCTGATCCTGTTACCCGAGACAGCAACCGATCATTACTCAAGAACATATCAATTCTTGAATATGTGCCATGCGGAGCCGAGTAGAAGGTAAAGTCCTTAGTGCTCGGATGATGTGCTCTCCAGACATCCACCAACCTGGTGTCTGTGATGAACCTATGGAGCATCTTATCTTGTCCTCCCCGCCCTTGGGACCTGGGAACACCTCCCCGTGAGCTCCTATCGACGGCAGGGTTTGATACTGCATTGAAGTCACCTCCCAGTACAATGAGTCCGTGATCCAATGCTCGGATTTTGGTCTGTAAATCGTCCCAAAAAACGCCGTCCGGTTGGTTGGGGGCATACACATTAATAAGGTGTATCCTTTGTGAAAATAGGGTACCCTTTACCACTATGTACCTCCCGTTCTGGTCTGCATCTGAAGATTCTATGTGTATTGGGCAACTGGTCCGAACGAGGATCGCGACACCGTTGCGCTTGGTGTAAGTTCTGGCTTCATAGGAAACCCTGAACGTTTGGTCTTTCAGTTGGAATGTAGCTTGTTTTGGTATCTGAGTCTCCTGAATAAAGACAATGTCAGACTTCATTCTTTTCAGTTCTCTGAAAAGGAGTCGTCTCTTGTTCAGCGTGTTAAGCCCTTTGACATTTAGGGATGACAATTTCAGAGCCATGCTCTTGATCTAAGCGTGATGCCTTTTTGTATGCTCGCCTCTGTCCACTTCAGAACCGTTGTGTCCCTATGTATAAGCCCCCAACCCCTAGGTAAAAGGGGAAAGCTGAACCGGGGAAGGAGATGGGTAGGAAAGAGAAAAGAGAGAGAATATATAAAAAGCAGTAATTGAGCACTGTGAGTGCCCAAGTGTAGTCGTCTGGTCTTATCTGTTGCCAGACTGGTGTGGGGTTCAGATTTCACCATCTCGCCTGCGTACAGCGCTAGAGAGAGATGCGGATGTATGAGCCTCTAACCATTTTGCGCTGTTTTGTAACTTTTCTTAGCTAACTCTATGTGCTACGGAAGTTACTCCTATGTGGCGTATATGTAAGAAGTGAGTATGTAATCGCGTGCCTGCTATTATTGCAGAAAGAAGAAAAAGAACAAAAACAATCATTGAAAAAACACATTTGCAATATCTGAGCAGATACAAAGCGAACGGAAAAAAAAAACTGGGCTTCCCCTCCTCCGGGGCCCTGATAGCATCACATTCGTACATGCCCCCCCCAAGAGCTGGAGGGTCCCACTTTGGGCGGGGGCAATGAAAGCCAAACTAAAACTGGCATCAAAATCGTGGAATGAACTTCCCCAGATCTAATCCTGCGGGTCTGATATTCTATGACCCCAGTACAGGTCGCGGGAGCCCCTCCATTACTTTTGGGTGGTTTGGTCACCAGATTAATGTTAGGCCGCTTGGGCAACAGCATGGGAGGAGGAGAATGGGGGGAGTATAATTGTTCTAACACCAGACACCTAAAGATTGATATAAACAAAAACTTATTTTCCAATCCACAATCAAATCAAATATTTAACCATCTCTATAATTTAAAGCATAGCCATAACATAGACTAACCACTTTTGTTTATTTTAAAGATGAGTGTGCCAGTTTCTGAATATGGAACCACACATGTGAAGGCTTTCTCTGGGTTATCTTAAAGTGCCAGTTGTGTATATACTGCAATGTTTTAGAACAAAAAGGAAAGTGTTGCATATACTGAAATTTGTTACAGTTTCTCAAAGTAAATGGCTACCATATATTTTTACCATGTAAAAGAAAAAGAACAAAAAAAACTGCTAAATTCGTTTTTTTTTTTTTATTTTTTTTTTTTTTTATTTATACCACATATACGCAAGTAAATTAAACAATACATTGTAAATTAGTGTCTGTGTAACCCAATGGAGACGCCTCAATATATTTCTACTTAAAATACACTTAAAAGTCTCTGGCATGGTACAGGAAAATGTATCTTATTTTAGTACCATTGTAAACTCTGAATTTATCTAAAGGTTTTATTCACTAAATTGGGTTGACATAAAGTTACATAAAAAGATAAATAAAAAATTCAGCCCAACTAAGAACTAGTTGTACGAGGTCCAAAATTGTAATGATTCTGTAACATTTAGGAAAGCTTGTTTCTTCTGCACCAATTAAAAAGAAATTTTGCATTTTGCAGCTTTTGGACTTGCCTGGAATCATTGAGGGAGCAAAGGATGGGAAGGGCAGGGGTCGACAAGTCATTGCAGGTACTGTTTCTTTTATTTATGAATCTTTCTTTGACGTTATGCTATTACTTTGAAGTTGTATTGAAGGAATTTAACAGACTGCTGTAGTGTTTATGGTGCAAAGAGTACCCTGGCATCCTACCAAAGTAAAGAGTCAAACCATTTAAGAACTATTTGACAACTTACTTGGGGTCTGCCGGGTGCCTGCCACCACCTCCCTTGAAGATGAAAGCCTCTGCCAGGAGCTTAGGTTTGCTTCACTGAGATAAGACCTGCTGTTCAGTGCTGGCTCATTGACGAGAGCGTTGGCTGATTGCTTCTAGCCAGTGGATGCTTCCCTGTGGCCAGCAGACCCCGGTTAAATTGTCATTCTATTGACTATATATACTGTAAGAGGGCGTCAGGACCCTACTTGAACCATAACCACTACAGCTGGATGTAATAATTATGGTATTTGGAGTGTTCCTATAAAATGTCTCTCCTTGCGCTTTCAGTGGCTCGGACATGCAACCTGATCCTTATTGTTCTTGATGTGCTGAAGCCATTAGGACACAAGAAGATCATTGAGAATGAACTGGAAGGATTTGGGATCAGGCTTAATAAGAAACCGCCAAACATAGGATTCAAGAAGAAGGACAAAGGTGGAATAAATCTTACAGCCACTGTAAGTCTTATTGGTAAAACGTGTCTGGGCTGGAATTGAAGATGAGATTAGGTTATATACAATGGGTTGAAGGAGCTGGGTTTTTTTTTTTAATATAATATTCAATAGAAATTGATGTATAATTTCCCATAGTTGACAGATTTTTTTAAAAAACAATCTTAAGAATATAACTTAGAATTGTCTATTGCCAAGCCTGGGACTGAGAAAAATGTATTAGAATTAGTACGTACGTACATTTCTAATGCATAGCTTTCAATGGGAGGCCAGTGATAGGCTAAGAGCCTCACCTGCTCTATTTGGCACCCAGAGCAAGGCTTTTTCTTTGCTTAAGCCAGGGCCGGAGGGGGAGACAGGAGAGACAGGAGGACTAACGTACAAAATACACAGTCCAGCGCACTCGCTTATTCACTAAACAATAATTTCAAATCTCACAGATTGTAATAGTTTTATTTAAAACACCTCACCTAGGCAAAAAATAATGGGGATTTAGTTACATTATATGATCATGTATAGGACGACGAGCACTTTGCTTAAACTGTTATCCCCTTAAAGCAAGAAGGTGTCCAGAACCTCCAAGCACTATAACTTCTTAATTGAGATGAAGTGATTATGGTGCCCCACGTTTAACTTTAATTAATATATCTGTATAACACACAAAGGGACATTTAAAACTGTGTGTGGAAATACAGAATAATTCTCATAACAAGTGCAAAAAAATGGAGAGAGAAAAAGTTCTGGGTAACAGAGTATAGAAAAAATAAATGTATATATCATATATGATTGTGACTGTGTAGTTTCACAATGTGTTGGATATAAGTTTTCTTTTCTTAATATCCCTACGTCATTACATAGGGAGAGACGGGGAGAGAAGCCATGTGGAAACATAACGCTGGTTTAAATGCTCATCCCACACCAAATATAAATAGGGTTATTCACTAAAGTGTAAATTGTTGGAAATTCATAGTGAATTTTAAATTGTAGACCAAAATAGCGAACTGAAAACATTGGTGATTAGGAGAATTTTTCAGCTATTCTGGTCCAACATTTAAAGTTTACTTTGAATTCCCAACAATTCCCACTTTAGTGAATAACTGATAGTATTTTGTCAAGATATGCTAAGGTGTGTGAGAGGGACCTGCATAACAAGAATTTTACATTCCATATTGCTGAGTCTGACCACTAGATTTATATTTTTGTTGCACTCTCCCTAAATGAACTAAGGTGTCCACCATAGAACCAGTTTTGATACATTCTTAAACTGATCGATCAGTCTAAAAACTATTTGAAAGGGGTACTATGCCAGAACAATCATTTCATTTAATCCATCCATTGTACAGCGCTACAGAATTTTGGTGGCTCTATATAAATAATAATTTAAGGAAGAGTGCACTGAATGCACATACCTATTGACCACAAACCAGTGAATCATTTGAAACAGATTATTTGTTTTGAGATGTTGCTTTAATTTCTTCTAGTGCGCTCAGTCAGAGTTGGATAATGAAACCGTGAAGAGTATTCTGGCAGAATATAAGATCCACAATGCTGATGTTACTCTGAGGAGCGATGCTACTGCTGATGACCTTATTGATGTAGTGGAAGGCAACAGGTCTGAGTGTGATTATAGCAAGACTGCTCAGTTCCTTAGAGTCACAGAGCTAGAACTCTAAACATCATATCTCTTGCAGGGTTTATATTCCTTGTATCTATGTATTGAATAAGATTGATCAAATCTCTCTGGAAGAGCTGGATGTGATCTACAAAGTACCACACTGTGTTCCCATCTCTGCTCACCACCGCTGGAATTTTGATGATCTCCTAGAGAAGATGTGGGATTACTTACGGCTGGTTCGAATGTGAGTGCCTGTCATAAGAATATGGAGTAATGTAGAGAAAAAAAAATGTTTTAAGAGAACCATCAACATATTTTTACACTTACTTTGCAGTTACACCAAACCCAAGGGCCAGCTCCCTGATTACACTTCTCCTGTTGTACTGCCCGATTCCCACACCGCCGTAGAAGATTTCTGCACAAAGATCCACAAGAACCTTATCAAAGAATTCAAGTAGTAAGTATTGACTTGGCTGATTAATGGTTTTAGTAATTTTTTGTTTTTCTAATCTGAGTTAAGCTTCTCATTCGGGGTTGTCCTTACAGCTGCATTGTCACAAAAAATATATCTATAATGCGATTTACTGTAGCCGCTTTAAAAATAATTTTTAAAAAAGGACATAGGAGAGCATTTGAAAAATAAATCCACTTGGAATCTGGGGGGGGTGTAACTTGAAATGGAAAGACCTAGATTTGACAATGATTGATAATTCTTCTCTCCTATCAGTGCGTTGGTTTGGGGATCATCCGTAAAACACAATCCTCAAAAAGTTGGCAAAGATCATGTCATGGAAGATGAAGACGTCATACAGATTGTGAAGAAATAATTCCTTTGCGTATGCTCCAGACCTTAAATTTCTTGGATAGTCCTGTGCAAGCTCTGTAAATATTTCATAAGAATGTTAATTAAAGTCTGCATTTCATGCTTGCTCAATAGTTTCCTTTTGACATCTCTCACTAAGCGGTAGTACTAATTTTTGTAAATCAAATCAAATCATGGATAAAAGGGACAGTTATTTACAATTTATCATGGATTAATACATTGCATCTGCCTAGGTAGGTGGTACAGGCAGGGCCGGACTGGTACAAAGCAGCCCTGGAAAAAAAAATCTATGCCCCATGTAGTGTGTTTTATATATATATATATATATATATATATATATATATATATATTTTCTAATTCAAAATATTAGTCCTTTCAGGGTAATTAAATTATACAGTAAAGCATACTCACATGCAGACACAGACAATTTTACTGATGCACACAAATAGGCTCATTGACAGAATCTCAATGACACACACAGACAAGGTTACTGGTACACACACAAATTTAGTAAAGACAAACTCTGATACACATACACACGCTCAATACAGACAAGCTCACTGATGCGTGCACACTCTCCCTACAGACAAGCCCATTGACACAAACATGCTCCCTACAGAAGAGCTCAATAACACACAAATTCACTATAGACAAGCTCACGATAACACACATGCTCACTACAGACAAGCTCACTGCACACCCATGCTCACCACAGATGGGCTCAGACAAGCTCACTCACTAGCAGGCGCACACATACAGAAGCTCCCTCACTAGCAAATGCGCGCAGGCGCGCACACACCTGCTTCTTACCTCCACATCCCTTGGAGCTCCTGGAGATTGGTTGTTGGGGAAGCAGGGACTCCTTCCTGCTTCCCATTCTGCATTTACCCGTACCCCCGTCGCAATATTTTATTTTTTTTTAAATCCCGGTTGGCCATGTGCGAGCTGTCTCGGCCCCCTTCTCCCATGGGTCTCTGTCCGGCCTCACAGCTCGCACATGGCTGGCCCGGATTACAGGAACCTAACCAGTAGCCGTGGCCCACTAGGAAATTTCCCGGGATCCTGGTGGGCCAGTCCGGCCCTGGGTACAGGCAAAGAATGGAATCCCTCAATTTCAAACATGCAGAACTTAGGATGCTAAACCAAAAAAAGTATGAGTTTTGAAGGAATTTGATATACAGCAGCATAGGGATGCACTGAAATGTCTGCCAAAAACTGGTCAAATTTGCTTGGGGGGGGAATATATATATATATATATATATAGTTTTTGTAGTGCATAGTTTAACAGACATGCTTGCATTAACAATTCAGATGATTTATATATCACAATGAAAGATAACATAAAAAGTCAAATACTGCACTTGAGATGGTGGGGGGAGAGAGAGAACACTACAGGATAAGCAAGGGGGGGGAGAGAGAACACTAAAATATTTAAAATAAAACTACTGGTTTTAACACAACTTAAAGTGAGGTTCCTTACCCGGATTCATCTTTCAGGGTTAAACTGTTCACTACCCCATCCTTCCATTTGCCTAATTTTTTTTAAAAATGGTCTGAGAACAGTCTCTCAGCCAGTTGCTTCCCGTTCACAAAACCACTTGAAATATATGCACTTTAAGCAGTTTTGTCAGTGGGGAGCAGCTGATTGGCTGAGTCAGTTGACTGCTCTCAGCGGCAACCCTAATCTTTAGTTTTGAAACATTTCAGCAAACCAGAGGACAGGGGGCAGAGATCTGGTGCATAGCATTTGGTGTTTAACTGTTCAACCACTAAGAAAGGTGAGCCTGGCACCATAACTTAATTTCAATGAAGTTATGATAGTGCCCAGAGTGTTTAGTTTAATGTGACATTGAAACAGTGTTGATAGTTAAAAGGGAAATTTGGGACTTGCTTGCCTTCTCATTTAGCTTGTAGTTAAACAGATTTAGTGGGACGCAAATATTGATATTGCCTAGAAATAGAACAGATAAAGACACATAATAGTGCAATATGGTCTAAATCTCAAATAGAATGAAAAGGAAATATGTGGAAATACACTCACAAAACAAGAGCCTATAAGATAAGGCTCAATTTTCCAGCGTTGTGGGATTAAGGATCCCACTACCTTCTTTATACTGCCAGGAGGTGGTGAATAATCCAAATGTCCTCTCTCAGGTGAGTATAAGTAGTTAAAGTGCTTTATTAATAAAGTGCACAAATAGAATAAAAAACAAGACCCTACAATTGAAGGTGACCTTGTTGAGATCGTCTCTGGTTGCAAAACGCGTTTCGCCTCATGCAGAGGCTTCCTCAGTTGCTCTAGTTGTTTGTTGTCAATGTTCTGTATTTATAACTTGTATTTCGCGCCCTTTTTCCTTGATCGCGGCGCTTCAGCGTTCCAACGGTGGAACGCATTAGTCTGATCACTTCCGGTTTCTGCATTTGCGTTCCATCGGTGGAACACATGCGTCCTTGTTCCGGTTCTCGTGCATTAGGACGCATCTATGCGTTCCATTTTACTTAGTTGGTTAGAGGTAGTCCATTTGTAAATAAGATTATTGACATTTGATAAGAATAGCTCACAAAAAAAGAGTACAAATGAATAAAAATGAGAAACAAGGTTTATATGAAAACATAAATAAGGTGTACAAATAACTCTGCTATATAAGGGAGACTTCTTACATAAACAATGAAGTTAATATAAGGACAAACATAATTATTATGATTATTATAAGTCCTATTCTCTCATAGAACAAGAAAAGGGGTGAATAAATATAAAATAATGGTATATAAAACATAAAATGCAGAAAAGCAAGATAACCCCTAAATAAAATCATAAATTGAGATAAAATGTAATATATTACATAATATGTTATAAAAATCTAAGTGCATAAAAAGTGGCAAACCTCAAGAATTAAACATTTTTAAAAATCTGAATGCTATTAAAAATGGCAGACCTCAAAATCTAAATCTAAGCCATAAGGAATAAGAGTTTTAAAGGTATATATAAATTTCATTTCCTCTTTTATAAGGACCCAAGTTTCGATAAGGAAGATCCCCATTTTATGGCGGGTTGGGATAAACTCCTTGATGGCTTCTCATTCAGCACAATGGGTTACATTGTGGCAAGAAGAGAGGAAACCCTCCCTAAACTTGATGAGGAAATAAACAAATGGAAAAATTGTCTGGCAGAATCTACAAGTCCAGAAATTTATAATAATATTTTAAAAGAAATCCAATCTAAAGTAGATAAAATTGAACTAGACACTATCGAAATAAAAAATATTTAAGAGACACAATTGATTATAAGACAGGGAATGTAAGGAACAATAGAAAAAACAATACACGTCAGAATACTTATCTTAAAAGAAAACAACATATTCAGGACACTCACTCCCAGCGTCCACTAACTACTCGATATCCATTAGAGAAAAGTGATAGAAACACAAAATGGGAAAAAAGTAGGAAAACTCCATATAAGGACAAGGTAGAGAAACATTCAAATAAAGAACAACAAAATAGATGGCAGCCGTATAATAGAACCTATCACAATAGGGCTGCCGAACCTTCAATAGTTCACAATCACATACCGACTCATAGGAGACATCAACGTATTAATTATGAACCTATTACAATCACTACCAACAACAAGGATATTAGAAAATGTAGTGAAAGAAGGAGTCCAAAGGAAAGAACAAGAAAAACGTTGTAATAAAGAGCCTTCTCATCAACTCCATGAGAAATCAATTTCCCAATACAGAGAGCAAAGAAAAGAAAATGATGATACCTCCCTCCCTCCAGACACCTCTCCATCACTTTCTTTTTTTCGGAGGGACTTAATTCAAAACAGGAGGAAGTGGACAGACCACACTCAACCTTGGGAAATACAGGGGAAAAGACAAAGATCAATGGAGGAAGAAGGAGACAGAGAAGAAAGAAGAAATCAACAGAGAGAGAAGAGAGGCAAGACATCAATTTAGAAGGAATTTTTAATTTAACAGGAAAAACTCTTACTTTAGAACAGGCAAACATTTTTAATAAAGGTCTTAAATTTGCACCTATAGCTGATTTTAATCCTTTTAATTTTTTCATAGATATGAATCTATTTAAAAGAAAATTATGCTTAAAATGTTTTTCTATAATAAAGAAAATAAGTTGCAAGAAGAACAAAATGATGGATACTTCCACACACCGCTTAAGTTGAAATCACAATTCTTCCCAAGACACCTAATTTCAGATGCAATTCAAACTTTTGAAACTATGGTGATGAAGGACGTGGAGAAATTTAGGAAAATTAATAAATATAAACAAAATCTGTCAATAGAAGAAAAGAAGGCCTTAAATGTAATTAAAAATAACGATCAATTAGTAATTAAACCTGCAGACAAGGGAGGAGGAACAGTAATTCTTGATAAGGAGCTATATATTAAAGAAGCAGATAGAATACTTTCAGATTCCTCTACCTATCAGAACTTAACATATAACCCTACAAATGCAACTATAAAGATTTTTAAGCAGTATGTGGAGAAAGGAAAAAATTTTGGAATTCTTACCGAAAAAGAAGCAGATTATTTGTGGATAGACAATCCCAAAATACCGGTCTTTTATTTACTGCCAAAAATTCATAAAAGCACAACTAATCCTCCAGGAAGACCAATTATATCGGGTATAGATTAAATCTCTGAGTATATAGATACTATCCTTCAGCCAATCGTTATAAAAAACCCTACATATCTTAAAGATACGATTCATGTTTTACAAATTTTAGAACAAACAAAACGGACAGAAGGAAACATATTAGTAACGTGATGTTACTGCATTATATAGTATCATACCTCATGACAAAGAAATAGCAGCAGTGAAACATTTTTTAACAAAATCCGATTTTAAAGAAGAACAAATCCAGTATATTTTAGAAGGAATTTTATTAATCTTAACTCATAACTATTTTTGGTTCGAAAACACTTTCTACCTCCAAATCTGTGGGACGGAAATGAGCACCAAATTCGCCCCGAGCTATGCCAACCTTTTTATGACATTTTGGGAAGAGGCATTTGTACTACAAGGCCTTTCGTGGGGGGCGAGTTTGGTGTCTTATTGCCGCTTTGTAGACTATATTTTTTTCATATGGACTGGTACCACAGAGGCTTTAAAGGCATTCATATCTCAACATTAATGATTATGGAATCAACTTAACCTGCAACTATAGTGAATCCAATATAAACTTTTTAGATCTCGATATCAGAATTCAAGACACTACGATAGTCACTAGCAATCATTTTAAACCAGTGGATGCCAATAGTTACATTGACATTAGCAGCTGCCACCACAAACCTTGGCTCCATAATGCTCCTAAGAGCCAATTCTTAAGGATCCGCCGTAATTGTAAATTAGATAGCGATTATTTAGAACAGGCTACTTATATTAAACAGCAGTTTATGGAAAAGGGGTATAATGAAATATCCTTAAATCAAGATTTAGAAGAGGTAAGAAAATTAAAAAGAAACCAACTTATCCAATACAAACCAAAGAAAACACAAAGTGACACTAATGAAGTTCCTTTTATTTGTGATTTTAACGGGCATAATAAACGTATATATAAGACTATAAACAAACACTGGCACCTACTAAAAGATGACCCAATTTTATTCAAAATTTTACGTACAAAACCTAGAATCACATATAGAGGAGCCAAGAATTTTAAGAATATTTTAGTTAAAAATCATTTAAACCCCACAAAACCTAAGCACTTTATTCAGGATCTCAAAGGATTTTATGGTTGTGGCACATGTCTTCCATGCAGAACAACTAAAAAAAACAAAAAAGATATTTTGAAGACCTAGAAAGTATTATTCAGAAACCATATACTATTAAAGATCACCTTACGTGCCATTCTAAGGGTATTATATATATTTTAAAATGCCCTTGCAATTTACTTTATGTAGGGAGAACCATTAGACCCCTAAAAGTTAGGATCGCTGAACATATTCGTAACATCAGGAATGGTTTGGAAACTCACAGCGTATCCCAACATTTCAAAGATGCCCACAACCAAAACCCAGAGAATCTATTTTTTTGTGCAATTAAAGAAGTGAAACGAGATTGGAGAGGGGGCAATTACATTAAAATATTAGGAAAAGAGGAAATGAAATTTATATATACCTTTAAAACTCTTATTCCTTATGGCTTAAATTTAGATTTTGAGGTCTGCCATTTTTAATAGCATTCAGATTTTTAAAAATTTGTAATTCTTGAGGTTTGCCACTTTTTATGCACTTAGATTTTTATAACATTATGTAACATATTACATTTTATTATCTCAATTTATGATTTTATTTAGGGGTTATCTTGCTTTTCTGCATTTTATGTTTTATATACCATTATTTTATATTCACCCCTTTTCTTGTTCTATGAGAGAATAGGACTTATAATAATCATAATTATGATGTTTGTCCTTATATTAACTTCATTGTTTATGTAAGAAGTCTCCCTTATATAGCAGAGTTATTTGTACACCTTATTTATGTTTTCATATAAACCTTGTTTCTCATTTTTATTCATTTGTACTCTTTTTTGTGAGCCATTCTTATCAAATGTCAATAATCTTATTTACAAATGGACTACCTCTAACCAACTAAGTAAAATGGAACGCATAGATGCATCCTAATGCACGAGAACCGGAACAAGGACGCATGCGTTCCACCGATGGAACGCAAATGCCGAAACCGGAAGTGATCTGACTAATGCGTTCCACCGATGGAACGCGGAAGTGCCGCGATCAAGGAAAAAGGGCGCGAAATACAAGTTATAAATACAGAACATTGACAACAAACAACTAGAGCAACTGAGGAAGCCTCTGCATGAGGCGAAACGCGTTTTGCAACCAGAGACGATCTCAACAAGGTCACCTTCAATTGTAGGGTCTTGTTTTTTATTCTATTTGTGCACTTTATTAATAAAGCACTTTAACTACTTATACTCACCTGAGAGAGGACATTTGGATTATTCACCACCTCCTGGCAGTATAAAGAAGGTAGTGGGATCCTTAATCCCACAACGCTGGAAAATTGAGCCTTATCTTATAGGCTCTTGTTTTGTGAGTGTATTTCCACATATTTCCTTTTCATTCTATTTGAGATTTAGACAATATTGCACTATTATGTGTCTTTATCTGTTCTATTTCTAGGCAATATCAATATTTGCTTTCAACCAGAAGATACTCCACCCCATATTGTATGTAAAGTTTGATGTGAGGGCGAAGGGTACTCACTAAGGTGTATGAGAATCTCTTGTTTTATTTCTTTATGTACGTGTTCCACTGGTAATACTGTATTCTTTAGATTTAGTGGGACACTATAATCACCAGAACAACTACACCTTATTTGTTCTGGCAAGTATAAATTTCCCCTCAGGCTTTTTGCAGTACACTGTCTTTTCAGAGAAAATGCAATGTTTACATAACATCCTAGGGATACCTCTACTGGCCACTACAGATGCCTACTATGTGCTTCCTAGGGCAGTGCTGCACAGTGTGCAATACAGCCAGAGTCTCCACCCTCTGCATATAGACACTGATCTTTCCTCATTGATACCATGTATGAGGAGATGCTGATTGGCCAGGGCTGTGTTTGGCTTGTGCGATCTTCTCCCTGATTTGCCTTATTGACAGTCTCAGCCAATCGTGTGTGAAAGCATTGTGGCTGTCTCAGAACACATCTGATATCAGCCAGGCAGATCAGAGGCAGCAGCCAGCAGCCAAAATAAAGGTACGATTTTGCTATATTTAGGTGGGCACACGATTGTGTTTAACACTACAGAGTCTGGAGTATGCATTTATGTTCCTGATCCTATAGTGTTCCTTTAATGCAATTTTTTTTTTTTTTTTTTTTTAGAGGGGCACACCACTGCCAGGCCCCTTCACCCCAAAGAAAACCAAAAAACACACAACATTTAGTACATATGCACAGTGAGAACATGCATTTAATTATGCACTCTTTTCCAGTGGCGATCTAAAAGCTTACAGATTTATAGTCTGAAACCTTTGCAAGCTCTCCCTCTAACCCAGCACAGACACTGGCTATCCAATCGCAGCTCAATGATAAGTTGCTCAAATCAATTGCCTGCTTTGAGTTTACCCAAGCAAATCTGAAAGCAAAAAGGAACAATTGCCTGACAAACACCCAAGTTGGAGGTCTTGAAATCTTCATTTTGTAAAATGAATGTGAGGAAAAAAAAAAACCATATAGCACATCACCAAACTGAAGTACTTTAGGGGTCTGGAGTATCACTTTAGGGCACTTGCAAATAAAGTTTATAAAATCAGTAGAATGTGTGTACTTTGATTGTCTGCCAGTAAAAAAACCTAGCTGCAGATGACCCATTTATTAAAATTTCTAGATATTCATGCAGTTCGTCGTCAAGTTCACACATTAAAGTTCCCTTACCACTTGTCACTTTACCCCGCTCTCACTAGCATGTGAGCTTATTGAGCAGGGCCCTCAACACCTGTTTCCCTATGTCCAACTTGTCTGGTTACAATTACATGTTTGTAAGTCCACCCATGGTAAAGCACCAAGTAATTTGTTGGCGCTATAATATAATAAAGTTCCTAGGTATGAGGGAGAGTTTTGTTAGCCCCATATACAGTGTATAATCAAATACACTCAACATGTAGCTCCATTTACAGATTCCCTGCAGACTGAGCAGCTATTACACACAAGTTCCAAATCTGAAACTTTAGCCTCTGTCAGCTTTAGAATCAACTCTTTAGATGAGCCATATGCGGGTTTGGAGATTCGAGAGACCAGACTATGGCACATGACTTCTAGGGACTTTATTCAGTTGCATTTTAGTGCACTTTCTAGATGCATTAAAAATAAATTTCCTTTAACTCCCATTCCAAGCTGAACAGTGAATTCTAGCACATAATTGGGATTAGTTTAAGGACTTGAGGCCACATTGCAAGTCAGAGTTGAAAGTTACACCACATGATGTTTCCCTCTAGTCTGTTAACTGTTAGGTGTTTAAATTATATGAATGTGTTTTACAAAGTCTGTCTGAGCTATAAATTGATCCAGCCATAATTTCATGATTAGCGCCCATGAAAAGTTTTGGTTCTCATGTAATCCTGGCTATGGTGGATACTTTTAAATTCATAGGCTACAACAGTATCGTTTGTATATATTAAAATCTTGTCTGAGAAGTGATAAGTTCTACATCAATTAACAAAAAACCATGTTTATACAGCAGCCCAGACTCTATTGGAGTATGCATTTTAATTGAAAGTAAAGCAACATGTACAAATTAAAGGGAGAGCTCAGACTTGGTAAGTTGCAAAAACAGCACAAGATTCAGCTTTCTCTTCTGTACAGCTAAACGCAAACAAAACTAAACCTAATTGTGAGTATATACACAAAAAAAAAAAAAAAGCAGCTTTATACAAGTCTGTACACAAAAGTTCATTGGCAAGAGTTCTGTCACAATCCTAGAAAAAAATAAAAATAAAAATAAAGATTTGCCTTTTTACTCAAAAGGCTTCCAGAGTGAGATGTGGTTTCCTCCAACAGTTTGCAGTGATACTCAGATGGAGGTAACGAGGTACCAATTTCCTGCAGTTTGAAAACACCCTGCACAGTTCAGGCCAAATTCTAAACAATAAAAAAAAACAAAAAAAAAAAAAACACAAGAGTTGAGCAGACGTGCATTAGGTATCGGAAAGGCCCCATCATACTCTGAAGATCACAGCCTAGTGACAGGAAGTAGGTCTCCACAGATTTGCTTCATTGTCTGTATTCCAGTTCATCCACACTGATCACTTTAGCGGGCATAGACGGAAGTGGCTGCTGCAAGACATCAGATCCAAACCACTTTGCTAATCCAACTGGCGATGTAGTTCTCTGAGGACGCTGCTCCATCATGTGTAGGCCAGGGCGGCTTGACAATCCTTGTGACTGTGAGTGTATGCCTGTGAAATTTTGACTGGATCCTGCAAGAATATATGGACAAAGGTTAGTGTTGCCTTGAAGGGTGTTCACGTTAAAACAGACAGAAGGATTATGTTGCAAGACTGACAATTCCTCAACCCTCTTGCTAGAAAGGAATGGTGAGGTGCATGTAGGTGGAACACCGTTAAGAGAAAAATAAAGCATAAAACATAGGAGGTCAAGTGTATTCAAGCACCTAGTGTAACTGCACAAATGAGTACAAGCTAGGAGACAGTTTCCGTAGAAGGCCTGGGATTGCACTTCTGTGGTAAAATAGGAAGAATTTAAAATAATTCATAAGTGTTCTTATGATGAGAGGGATGGTACAGTAAAGTGTGGGTACACCCATTTGAAGACCAGTTAAAAGTGATTGATCATTTTAATTACTAATTTAAGGGGAAACAAAAGTAATGGCATGCCACTGGAACTTAAATACTATAAAGGTCATGAACACAATTGTATTCCTGACCCTAAGGTGTTAAAAATCAGTATCTAAGCCCACCCAAATACAGTAAAATATTAATGGGACACTATAGTCACCCAGACCACTTCAGCTCAATGAAGTGGTCTGGGTGCCAGGTCCCTCGGTTTTAACCCTTTAGATGCAAACATAGCAGTTTCAGAGAAACTACTTTATTTACATTTGGGGTTAAGCCAGCCTCTAGTGGCTGTCTTGCGGACCTTACGGCACATTATGCCTCCATCGCGCAGAGCGTCCATAGGAAAGCATTGAGAAATGCTTTCCTATGGACACTTAGAATGCGTGCACGGTACTTGCCGCGCATTAGGCTCCGCTGACGTCAGACAGGGAGGAGAGGTCACCAGTGCTAGAAAAAGGTAAGCTGCTGAAGGGGTTTTAACCCCTTCAGCACCACAGGAGGGGGACCCTGAGGGTGCTTTGTTTTCCTAATACTAGTAATCTTCATTTCCAGCGCCGGGTACGTCTGCTGTGCTAACTCGGCTGACATCAGGAAAGATCTCAGCCAGGGGGGCAGGGCCAAAACACTGATTAATCAGCATCTTTTTCTAGAGATGCATACAATCAATGCAGCTCTATTGGGAAGGTTCAGAGTTTCTACGCTCTGCATGTAGACGCTGAACGTCAGTGCACAGCACTGACCCAGGAAGCACTTCGAATAGCAATCTAAAGAGTGGCCAATAGAGGTGGTCATAGGGAGCAATGTAAACACTGCCTTTTCCAGAAGAGGCAGTGTTTACAGCAACAAGCCAGCAGGGATATGCTATACTCACCAGAACTACAATAAGCTGTAGTTCTGGTGACTAATGTCCACTTAAATCCCCATATATTATATTATGTGAGCAGGATAGATATATAGGGATACTATATTGAAGGGCATACACACATACTTTAATACAATGTTAAACAAAAATCTGCACACCAGTTAAGCCGTAAGACTTTCTTTTCCCCCAGAAATCCCAAATCTGCAGTGATGTTACAACCGCAAAGGATTCTGGGTGGGCATTTGCAAATTAGTTTAACAAAAATCACATTTTTGCCTGATTCCACTTTAAACATGGATTCCTTGTAAGAGTTGGAAGAGTTGCATTAACAACGAAACAGCTGTCCATGAGTGGTTCACTGGTTTTGCATCTTTTCCTAAATTGTGTTCCAAGCAGTTGTATACTGCAAACACAGATTAAAAGGAATCCATGTTTAAAATGGAATAAGGCAAAAAATGTGAGAGACACACACACACACACTTAAATTTTCCCTTCAATATATCGCTATTTGATGGCAGCAACATACCATTGTTTTAACTTATTTCAAATATTAGTACTGATCAGCAGAGGCAAACCTCTGACCCAATATCAAAATTTGTGATTAAGATTAGATTTATAAAACTCAAGTTCGTTTTAGGTTTGCATTTAAAATAAGTTTAGAATTAGGCTACAAATTAGGATTATTGCCAGCAAGGGTTAAGGATTTAGACTGGGATAAAGATTGTTACTATGCAAAGTATACAAATGGGGTATTTTATTCGGAAGAGGTTTCTGAATACAGTTAAGATCATTTTACTACAGTAGGACACAAATTATATATGGCACCTCAAAGATCTACATATATCATGCAAGGCCCCATGGTTTCAACTTCTGCAAATTGTATGCAGTACTTTAACTGAAATGGGAGGTTCGTTTATATAAAAACCAACAAAAAGGTTGTCATCATGTAGTCAGAAGATATAGTTTAGACCAATTTAGTGTATTTTATTACAGTAGCACAGTAGAGTTGGTTTAAAAAAAAAAACCCCACTATATTTCAATCTGCATGTAAAAAGTGCGAAGATAAATTTCTGTCAACTTTGAAAGATAAGTCTCCAAATATACCACATGACATAACCCATTAGATCTTTCACAAATGTAATGTATTTATGGTGTAATTTTAACTGTCAAACTGCTACAATGCAGAATAGGCACACCAAATTAATTAAAACTGTAGACAGAAATAGTCTTAGATTGCACTAACTTTGCAAGATAGTGCCAGGACATACATTGAGGTATTTTTTATTCTCAAGAGTTTACCAAGCAAAATTGGGTGTCCCTATATACAGGGCTTTGTATATAGGTTTGGGATTACATTTTCTGTATGCACAAAATAAAACACAAACCACCCTCGTGGGTGTGCCATACCAGAGTGCTGTAGAGGCTGCTGCATCATTTGAGGCTGGAGAGAGTTTGATGGCCGTTGGTTCAGAAGAGGGTGTCCTGCAGCTGGAAGGGGGTAGAAAGGTTGTCCAAGCACTGATGGGGGAAGAGCGTGCAAGGAAGTTAAGTCCACTCCAGGAGGAAGAAGTCCTATTAAAAAGGAAATACATAACATTTGCCACATATAGCCCAATTTCAGCTTCATGACAAGACAAACATTTTGAATAGCTATAACAGAATCCACACAGTTTTGGCCTTCAATTAAGGGCCACTATCGCAGAGGCCCTAAGCTAGCAATTAGAATTGTGTCTAACCTCATTAAAAGATCTCACATTGCAATAATCATACCGGCTTGTAGAAGAGAAAGGTGTTGCGGAGGAACACCTTGAGCTAGCATCCTCTGAACTAATCCAGGGTACAACTGGTGGGATGGCCTGACAACTGGTACAACGGGCATCTGGTGAAGGGGACGCATAAAAGATGAACCAGGCACAGGAGATGCCACAGTGGGTGTCCTCCTTCCTGTAGTTTTTGGACGGTAATCCTGGTCTTTGGTGAAACGGTTCTGCTGGGAATGAGGTGGGTTGCCTGCAGAGTGTGAAGTTGTTGGAAATTTTGCACCCACCATGGGGGAGGAGTCTTGGATAGAGTTCTCTGATATTGGACTAGTTAAAGCCCCATCTGTTAAAAGGAACAGTTTTAAATGAACCAGCGTTTTATGTTATCTAAATTAACTGTTATACATTCAAAGATATGCAAAAGCAGGTTGGGTTAAAAGGTTAAGACATCTTTCAATTAACTCCCTCATTAACAAACATGTTTATCCCCCTTTTTAAGGGTTGCTCCCATGTCTCAGAATGGTGTGCACATGGTTTTAGCAAGCAAATTTAGTTTGTAAATTTTAATTAGGGCAGACTATTCAGTCATCTGGAATAATAGGTCAGTACAGGTCCAGGGAAAACAATGGCTTCATCTGCACTCCACACCTTATATTTAAAGAGCAGGTGACATGACCATATTTAAAGAACATTTCAAGTGAACACATTTCCTGAACAAAAAAAAAAAAAAAAAGTTTACATTAAGTGTGACATCTATATAAACATTAAAATAAGAACCACTCACATATTACTTACAGAGCACAGACAAAAATAAAAAGGTATCAACACTAGAGATGGTTTTGTGTTCACAAGGGGGGGGTTTACGTATTACCTCCATGCACCATAGCTTTCCTCTTTTAGGTTACAATTTAAGTATCTCAGCCTGTCCACCCTATTAATTTAATTTCCATTAACTTGCATATATCGTTGCAATGTCCAATCCCAGCTCTGGCATTGCTAAAGCATGTTGTGTGTACCACATACAAGTTTGGTTATTTCATCATGGCCCATCAGTTTCCAGAGTGAGCCTGTATAGCCTGTATAGCCTTAAGTAGCTTAATTTATGAATGAATTTACTAATCAAGTTCATAGGAAGAAGTGGTAAAGGTTCCATTAATTTGCAGTTTCATGTAGCAATTATGCATAATGCTCCCATTAAACACAATGGAAGGAGCAGGACTGAGAAAATTCAGGTTTGCGTTTGTTCCAGCTTTGATACATTCTCCCCATAAATGCATTTAGAAATAAAGTTCTATTACCCTCATGGAGCCCTAGATTATCTTCCTTTCCACGGATGCCATGCTTTCCGCTAGATGTTTCATCTTTACTCTTCTCTTTGCTTTCATACATCTTACGGATTACTGAGGTAGGCGTGAAAGACGGAGAAAGCTATAAAAAGGACAAAAACCATGTAAACCACATCAAATCTGGAATTCAATAAGTTAAAAGAGTAACATCAGGAATCTCATGACGGGAATGAAGTTTATGTTCGGAACATACAAGGAACATACAAGGAACATACAAGGAACATACAAGGAACATACAAGGGCTACTAAACTGGTTAATGGACTGCAGGATAAAACTTACAAGGGAATGTTAAAGGATCTTAACATTTATTGCTTAGAGGAAAAATGAGACAAGTGGGGGGACCCAGGGACTAATCTTTTTGAAAATTAGGCAGACTAGATGGGCCAAATGGTTCTTATCTGCCATCTCATTCTAGGTTTCTATGTTTCTAACAAAACAAAAAAATAAATGCCGTTTCCGATTCAATTAAGTTTAAAAACAAAACCACTATGTATCCAAGGTCTTCAGTACAGTGGCAGCTGTTTACTTATAGCCCTGTTAATCTGCTGGATGCTGCTCTCCACATCCCCTACAGCGAGCCAGATACTCCTGCTTAGGGGCTTCTATAAAGATCACCCAAGTCAAGCCCTGCGCTGCTGGGCTTCTCAGACATCACTTCTGTCTCCCTATTGACTGTAATGGAGCAACACCCATCATGCCATAGTAGTTATGGTGCTTTCAATGCTCCATTAAGAGATCGATCCTTTACCTGCATTGCGCATGTGCTAGCAGTTACAATCTGCAGAAAAAAAAAACAAAAACAAAAACTGAAAATCAGATTACATACCATACTAGTGACTGGGCCACCTGGCCCTGGTGATATTTGTTTTCCTCGTAAGTTGGGCACTGGGGATTTATTGATCCTCTGTGGAGGTCTAAAAATAAAAAAAATAAAATAAAAAAAATAAAAAACACAAGATTAACAGCACATAAACGTCAACTCACAAAACAGCACCTCTTAATGTTTTACTTACCGGCTACGGAAGCCATCTCTGGCTTTGTCCATCTGCATTTTGCCATAAACTGGCTGATAGTAGTTTGCAAGATCATGTGGTAGTAAGCCCTCCAAAGAGGGCTGGTGCAGTGCTAGTGGGTTTACCTAAAATATGACAGATCAAAGAAATGCTTCAATTAGTCTATACACTAGGACATTAACATGGAACTGAACACAAACTATGTTAGATCTCATGAAAATCTGCAAGACATCAATAACGTTAAGGCCAAACAAAAGACATCTTTGTACCATAATCAATGTATTAAGCTGTAGTTATGGTGCCTTACAGGCTGTAAACAATATACACAGTCACCTTGTCTAAGCCAAGCCAAAACACAAATAAGACAGACAGAAATTGAAGAGTCCCATTAATACACATCCAGATAAATAAAATATAAAAAAAAAAAAAACCTTACCTGTGCCATCACAGGGCTGTCAGACTTGGGCACACCTGTTGGGAACTGCTCACCGAGGAGGTGCTGAGGTCCTGTGGCAAAACCTATACAGAACAGAATTATTTTAAGTATAAGCATATTAAAAATACATACTAAACCTGCAAGCTATGCAGACACTAACCCAATGGGGAGGGTATCCTGTTTCTAAGGTAATCCGCAGAGGAGGCACGTGGGGGAAACACTTGAGGCATTTGAGGAGACGGCGATCTGTGTCTCAGAGAGGCTGTAGCATCTAGAGAGCCCATCAGGTTGTTAATCACATTGGAGGATGGGTCAGATATGGGGGGACCAAGAAGCTCCTAAAATGAAGGATTTGAACGTTAACAAGAAACATTAACACCAGTAATATCAGTATATTAAACCCTAAAAACAATCTAGAGAAACGCCATCCGCACATTCCAAAAAAAAATAAAAAAAAAATAAGTTTGTACCTGCAAAATGTTACGTTGAAGAGAGTTCCCCGTAACAGATGAGGACATCAAGTGAGCATCAAGATTTCGCTAGAAGATTAGATCACTGTAGTTAGGTTACCAAATCAAAGACATTTTGCCAAAATGTGACACCCACATCCCAGTGCCAGCCATTTATTAGTGAATACAGCTATAAACCAGGCATGATATGTCACAGTAGAACACAAAACTGCATGCAGGTCTGCTAGGACTACTTACTAAGCCACAACTAATCTTTCAGAGATGGACACTCTTCATGCCAAGAGGGACATAACATTCTCACCATCAAAAACACAAAAGCAAAGACCACAGCAAGCGGAAACAGACCAAGTACTAACCAAAAAGCTACAGGTCAATGCTTACAAAAGCCATACCTAATTAGCAGATCTTGCTTGAACAATAAGTGTACTCGTAAGGACTACCGGCCACATCTAACAGGTACAGGAATGCACAGACAGCTGGTATCTACTTACATTGACTTTGGGTTGGGAAGGCAAAGTCCCACTTGCCTTCATGCTGCTTACAAGTTTATTGAAGGCAGACATGTCTCCATCCCGGCGAGGTTTCCTTGGTCCAGCCATAGCAGTCAGGGCCTCCTCTAAGTGCTCAGCCATGAATGGTGTTGCAATCTTTCCTTCTTGTTCTACTTTTAACCCTTTGAGCCCAGCTTCAACCTCTTCCACAGACAACACCACCCCTGAATGTGCTGGAAAAGTTATATTTAACAGTTAAACCATGTTGAGCAAATTTTACAGATCTATAAAAGCTTGCATCCCACTCAAGACTTACTGCTCTCTCTCAGCTTTTCTTTATTTGCAGTTAGACTGGACAGTAATGGTTTTAAGTCTACTTTGGCTTTATGCAACATCTCCAAGATATCCACTTTGTCAGTATGGTCTTCAAACTGGATGGGAGCAAAATAATTTCCAGAGCTCTGTCCATGGGAGGAAAGTACTGGTTCCAAGCCTGCGAAGAGAAGAATGCACGTGAATGTAGTACTTAACTCTCCAACCTCTTTTTAAACCTTCACCTGTTAAAAATTATATACGCACACACTGTAGTGATTATGGTGCCAGAAATGCCATCTAAATTGTATGTAGTCACTCCTGTTCTTGTCCGTTACCTTGACAGCCTGAAAGCTTTTGCAACTTTGACTAGCTCCCTTGCAAGGCTATATGCTGACTGCGGTCAGCCAATGAACCAAGCCCTGCCCCTCGTTCAGTGCAGTGAGCTTTGTCCTGCAGAGGCTGCCAAGAGCAGCAGGAAATCCCCAAATAAGCAGTCAGACTTAAGCGGTTAATCTAGGTCCCGCAGCACCATTAGTGATACATTGTGTTGTAGTGGTTGTGATTCTTTGAGTGTCCCCTTAATCTATTCCCAAAAGTCTTGTTCCTGCCTTCTAAATAAGCTACAAAATATCCCCTATAACCTCTAGTTGAGAACTTCCCACTTCGATCAGTTCAAGATTGGATAGGACCAGTGCACAATGCCCTCACTCTACTAGGATCAATGTTGCCAGATACAGTTACCTGCATAAGAGAGTTTATTGCAACCCTTCCCTACACACATTCGTAGATGTACCTGCTAGCCTCTCCAGCTCCTCGTGAGGCGTTGATCTCAGACTACTGGAACGACTCCCTGAATGACTGTGATTAGAAAACCACCTGCTGAATCTGCTGGCCGACACTGACCCTTCTCCAAGTACATCTTCAATCATCTAATGGGCGGAGACAGGAGAAATATAGAATCAAAGATGCACATTTCGAGAGAACAGGGAAAGCTTGAGCTGGGTTTTAGAGACACTTACTTGCAAGAGATGTGGCTGCTCTGTGGGTGCGTCATATCTGGTTCCAGAGTAATAAGTCTTACTGAACATGTGTCACAACCCCAAAAAAACAACAACCAATACAGAAAAAAAAAAAAAAAACCCTGCGAAAACTGCCTACGACAACAGCAGAAATTGCCACCCAATCTGGCAGCCTCTAAATACACACTGACCAAAACAAAAAACCATTTCCAATAAAAATAGATGGACCTTTGAAAGGACTTTTTTGCAACAAGGCCTTTTTTCGGCATTTCAATATCAATAGCCAAATACTGATAACAAATAAGTCTGACTACTATGAAGATTGCAAGTAGTTTGTGAAATATCAAGCCAGGTATAACACCATAAATTTCATGCATACCCACTAGCCAGTGAAATCACCACATGTGTGCACAAAACCCAAGTGTTCAAAATCCCCAGTATTCCAAGTGATATACCATGGAAGCATCATTTGAGTCACTAGACAATGCCACAGTTAAAGACTTGTTTCCCCACAGTTTTCAAATTAAACAGAGTTGATGCTTCCATGGTGCACACGTTCCCAGGAGAACTCACCGAGGCCAGGCCTGGCACAGTTTTATCCAAGTTAAAGAATTCATCAAAGTCAAAATCCCTTGGGCCTGTTAGAGTTGGCGCTTGAGGCACTTCCTGGTCAGTTGTGTGTTCAGGAGGTAGAGCAGTCTCTTCTTCCAGTACTGTTCCATTGCATTCCAATCCTAGAATAGGAGAGAATTATTCTGTGTATTAACATTTAAGCTTTTATGGGGAAGGGGAATTAAAAAAAAAAAAGAAATCCCACCACAAGCAGGATTACCACAGATTACTCAGTGAGAGAAGAGTCTGCCTCTAGTCTGACATACTGAAAACAGACATGGCCTCAAACGAAAACATTTTAATATATATGTTACGTTGAAATTTGTAAGATGCGATATCCAGCCATTAAAAAGTTTGCCGAACGAGGTGAAGGTTTCGGAAATCTAAAAATATGTTGCCTTGAGATGCCGAGGAACCCTCTGGTTTACACAAATACCCCTTTAACAGATTGGCAAAACCTCCAGAAGACTGCACCCAGACTGACTATATGAAATGAAGGCAGAATGTATGTTACATTTGAGTAACACTCACAAACCTGTTGTGATGGCAGTACTAGATAAGAAAACTACTTAATGGTTGAAAAAGAATTTAAGAGTTAAACTAAAAATCCACTTTTTTATTAAATGCATGTACCACACCTTTAAAGTTAAAGCTGTGTCATCACTGCCAGGTGATCTCACCACATTGTGTTATTGCTGCACTTACACCTTTTGTATCTGACTTTAATTAACCCCTTAAGGACCAAACTTCTGGAATAAAAGGGAATCATGACATGTCACACGTCATGTGTCCTTAAGGGGTTAACAAAAACCAGACATGTTAGAAAGCAAAGGTTTCAACTGACGCAGTAGCACTAGGAAGAGTTTACAATATAATTTATAAAATAGGTTTAAGGTAGCCTCAGGTGAAGCCAGGACACAGATTAATAATTGTTTGAGAGATGGAATACCCATTGCGGTATGGGAGAGATCATTGTTTAGGACAATGATAAAGTTGCCACAATGATACTAGCATCTGTTCTGGATATGGCCAAACCATACAGTACCCAATTATTTTTCCAACGTGAACATGAATGTTAATTTAGGTGTTAGAGTCTTGACTTCACAGTCCACAATCGATACAAGTCCTAAAACAATCTGATCGATATCTGTAGGATCCTGCGTAGACCAACTCATGTGAGAAGGTGGCCAATTCCAACAGCCCTTACTAGTGACATGTTCCTACTTTTACCTATATCTTTCGACTTTGTAAAATGTGCTTATTTATTTATCTTCCCTTATTAAATTCCAACAAAGATTTTACCTTTAAGAAAATCTCAGAAGTCTTATTTTGGCGACAAGCCACTTTAATAGGACTTTATGGACAATTAAGCAGCATGTTTGGAAGATAGGATGGCACATGGCATGACAAAGAATTTCTCCCATAAAAATTAAGGACAAAAGGAGAGAGGGAACGCTCTAATACCAAGACACTCAAGACTCAACTTACACTCTCCAGACACTCTTTGAGGATGGACTCACATCTAAGATTGACATCTGGAGCCAAAGCGGAACACACCTAAATCTTTGTATCTTTTCCAACTAACAACTTCAGAATTCTGAAAACTTTTCTATTTTCATACAATTCTCTAAACATCATACTTGGATTCAAAATTCCTGGGACACATCTACAAATCTGATGCAAAAAAAAAAAATCTACAACATAATTATGCTGGTTTTATTTAAATTGAATTTAAATTAATTGATTTTACTAAAAGGCAGAATATACTTTGATAAAAGCTGGTGATTCCAACATTGAGGAGTCATGATTCGTTAATATATAGAATTCGGAATAACATTCCTGCAGGTGGACCAATGAACTCTACATTACTTTTAACTTTAAAAATTAGAATACCAGGCAATTATCCAGATAGATTAGCTTATGTAATTTAGAAATAGTAAGTCTTCAATTAGGAAAGTACAAATTCTGCAAACGTAAAGTCTGGTTAGAATTATTCTTATTGGATGGACATAAGAATGTTAAATGATCTGTTATGAGAAATTGCATTTGTAAAATTGCAATATAAGATATCTTGCCTATGAGAATTGCAACCAGCAGCAAATGAGTTAATTTAGCGTGATTTGACTGTCAGCCAAGTTTTTATTGCTTTAAGCTGTGCGTTAAGTTAATTTCAAAGTAAAGTGTCCTGTCGTAAATCCTGTTGAAAAATGCATACATGTCGATATAACTTGCTATTTAGCGGTCTGTAATTGTGTTAAACCACTGCCATATTGTATACTTATGTTATACCTAAATATGTAACATGCGTGATAATATTAGCGAATATTATTGTCACAATAAATTATATTTTTATAATTTGTGATTAATGGGTGAAATAAAAATCCTTCAATGAAAACTTACTCCAGGTTCTATGAGAATTAAGATAGTGGATAATTCACAGCTTTAAATATAAATCTGGTAAACAGTGACAAGATATCAATTATTGATAATATATACACACTAAAAATATTTTCATAAAGATCACCCCGTAAATCTCCTCACAAGCTCAATTCGTAAACGGCAAAATTTGGACAGAAATATAATAAAAAAATTAAAAAATAAAAACACACACACACAAACACACAGACATTGGGCAGCCAGAGTCAAAGTATTCAGAGGGTTTCTTTCACAAAGTGATGAGTTGTAAATTAATCTCAATGCTTAGTTGTGCTGGTGGATGAGCCATTAAGAGGAGAGTTAAAAAGTGAACTGTAACATCATGTACTGATGTAATGTAATTCGCAAGAAGAAAGCATGCTAGAATGGAGACAGAGTGTAAGGCTGAATTCTGCAAAGCATACAAACATTAAGAATTTATGGAAGAGGGGAGGCTATGTTGGACCCTGGATTGTCCTTTTCAAGTGAAGATGTAATGACAGGTTCACATCAAGGGTCTAACTTGCTTGAGGTATATATATTATCCTTCTTGGAAACCACAATTTTATATTGGCTAGGTTTTAACATTTTCCAAAAGACTCTGCATGTTCTTGGAAGAGTGTTCTCAACAGCCACAGTGTTAACATTTTAAACAAGGGTTCAGCTGAAAAAGTAATAAAAAAAATAAATAGAAAATGGGGTTGTTTCAAGCATTCCAACCATTTTACATGCCTTCTTTGTGAGATGTGCGCCTACGAGTCCGCTTCCTTCCCTTCTGGTCTTCCTCTAGGATTTTCTCATCAAAACCAGTAAGTTCAATGGTCTCAGACTGGCTAGTGGGTCCCCCAGAGAACCATTCTGGTTCCTCCTCTGTGTAAGAATCATTTCTCCGTCGCTCACCAAAGATACGTTTGCCATCACCAAATTCCCTCTGTGGTGTTTAACAGAAGAGTACAAAATATTAAAAACTAGACATATGTAAACCAAGGAGAAAAGGCCAGCCTTTACCAGTAACGAGCTGCAAAGACACAGTTTATTAGCCTGCAGTTCACAAGAGCCCAAGAGCCCGGGTGACCTCACCCTGAATCTCTTTTCTTTATATTCCTTTTCTCGCTCTCGAGTCTCACGAGGTTCTCTCATGTCTTTTTCTCCCCCTCGTATATCACGGTCAAAACCTCTACCAGACATTATCCTTCCACTACCAATTCTACGGCCACCCATGAGACGCAAGCTCTCATTTTCCTTGTTGTCCAGTGTACTACCAGCTTGACGTGAGTTGACAGCAGCTGTGACATGGCATCCACCCCCAAAGCTACGCCTCTGCGGGCTAAGGACCACATCCAAGTCATCTTCCTTCACACGTTCCCTGGGATCTGTAAGGAATTAATAAGGTCTACAGATTACAATGTTATATTTGTGGTGGGAGGGGGGAGCAGCAGTCCAAATAACACTGCTAGAAATGGAAAACCAGGAAGCATGTTAAGATCTTCTATTTCTACTATCAGGCTACAATCATAATAGGCAAAAGTCAAGAAGAGCACATTTGGTAAAATATGGGACAGTTAAATTATGCAGAAAAGGGGATCAACTTAAACAGCCTTTTCTCAAAATAGATTTTAAATCTATTGGCTATAAATGTGCCTACTGGTTACAAAACAATGGTACAGCATTATAGCCAATGTGATTAAATAAGGTCTACAAACCTGCAATCCTTCGTTTTAGAGAGGTCCTCTCTGAATCAGACTCCTTTTTCAAAGCCTCTATGGGAGAGCTGCGTCCAGAGGTTGGGTAAAGGGATGCATGCCACTTTTCAGGGTCCCAAACACCATCACTGTGTCAGCAATAGAATGCAAGTCAGATGGGAACAGCAATACAAAATAAAGTCTTTTTACATCGCCACGGTGTAATACAAAGAGCCACTTTGCTTTTCCAGGAATAAGTCATAGAGCAGGGCTGGCCAAAAACTTGACCCTTGGATGTTACATGCTAGATGATTATGGAAGTTTTAATTCTACAACATCCAAGGATCAACTTTGTGGCCAGCCCTTCTCTATGATAGAATTACAAAAGGGTTTTGTGATTGTTTACATTGACAATTGCAATACCTGTCATATTTATCCAGCAAACAAGATGGTCGCTGTCTTGAGTGTGGGTGTTCTTTAATATCCAAGAGCTCCTCCTGAAAGTTACAAATAAAACTTCAATGACCGACATTGGATCTCTGCTTACACGACAGTGTGGTAACAGTTAAAGTCAAGATATTAGTGTGGGAAAAATAAATAAATAAAAAAAAAATGAATTCAGATAGTAAGATTAGGAGAAATGACATAGAAATTAACTTTATTCAGCAAGGAGAGAATAGTTTTAAATTCAAAGCAAGTTTCATATTTAAAGCTAAAAATTTGTTGAGTGGATATTAAACATGAATACAAAACTCCTAGGCGAGATGGAGGGGGAGAATGCCCAAAACCTGCAAGAGCTACTTCAGTCAGGCAATCCAAGTTTTTCAAAGCAATGCCTGGTTTACTTACCTTAGAATAATGATGCAAAGATCTGTTTCGGGGGGCCTTTTTGGGATCACTAAAATGATTTTTGCTGTCAGTTTCTTCCTTATTATCCATGCTGAGAGTAACCAATACGCTCCTGTAAACAAAGTAGAATAGCTATAGCTTTAAAAAACAAACTGCAACACAGCCGATACCGGCCTCTCTTTCAGAAGTTGCAAAGGTATATTGAGCAATTTCTCACCTTAATCACTATATTGCTAATCAATGTTCTTTTCCCTTTATCTTCATTAGTGCAATGCAAAAAAAAAAAAGCCAAGTAAATTAAGTACATTTCAATCTTACTTTTCCATTCCGCTCAGCCCTGGAGTTACCCAGGGGGTCCCAGAACCCACGGCGCTCAGCCCTGGAGTTACCCAGGGGGTCCCAGAACCCACGGCGCTCAGCCCTGGAGTTACCCAGGGGGTCCCAGAACCCACGGCGCTCAGCCCTGGAGACACCATGGGGTCCCAGAACCCACGGCGCTCAGCCCTGGAGACACCATGGGGTCCCAGAACCCACGGCGCTCAGCCCTGGAGACACCATGGGGTGCCAGAACCCACGGCGCTCAGCCCTGGAGACACCATGGGGTCCCAGAACCCACGGCGCTCAGCCCTGGAGACACCATGGGGTCCCAGAACCCACGGCGCTCAGCCCTGGAGACACCATGGGGTCCCAGAACCCACGGCGCTCAGCCCTGGAGACACCATGGGGTGCCAGAACCCACGGCGCTCAGCCCTGGAGACACCATGGGGTCCCAGAACCCACGGCGCTCAGCCCTGGAGACACCATGGGGTGCCAGAACCCACGGCGCTCAGCCCTGGAGACACCATGGGGTGCCAGAACCCACGGCGCTCAGCCCTGGAGACACCATGGGGTGCCAGAACCCACGGCGCTCAGCCCTGGAGACACCATGGGGTGCCAGAACCCACGGCGCTCAGCCCTGGAGTTACCATGGGGTCCCAGAACCCACATCGCTCAGCCCTGGAGTTTTCCAGGAACCAGCCACACACAGAACAATGCCGGTAACACAAAGAGCCCGGCTAATCCCGGTTGGCATGACCCACTGCCTTCCCCGGACCCCGGCAGGAGCAGGGCTGCTCTATGGGGGTGAGAGGGTCCTGCCGGTTCCGGGTGTGGAGTATTGAGGGCATGGCCCTGCGCGCTTACCTTACATTGGCCAAACACCTGCCCACCGCACCGAGCCCCCCACTCTCACCTGAGCACACCCCCGCGTCCTCCGGGTCTCCCCTCCCTCTAATACCCCCCGCCGCGTACACACGCCGCCTGACGCATATCACGCCGCGCACGTCCACAACGAGCAGCACGTACCGGCCGGCCGGCCCCGCGGCTACCTCTCCCCCAGCCAAGCCCCGGGCTTCCTTCGGCCCACCGGGAGCTCCGGGGCCGCCGCTTCCTCTGATTCACGGTCACTCCGAGTCAAGCCGATACCTCCAACCAGATCGCCGACCGAAACAGGCAGCGTAGGACAACTACGTCAGAAGGACCCCAGGCGTTCTACGTCACTAGGTGGCGTCGAGGAGAGGCGCAGTATCTTATATTAACCCGCTGCTGGCCAGCGACAAGTGTCACGTGACTCCGAATCCTGTACTACAAGCGCGCTCAGCGTACAGAGACCAATTATAGCCAGCGGCAGATGGCCAGCCTTTGTTAGTGTGCAGCTGAGGATCACGGGAAATGTAGTCCAGTACAACTACAGTGACAGTTGTACATTACTGGAATAATGGTTATCAGTCTAAAATAAGCTGTCTTTTTCTCTGTATCTGTTTTTGTCATTAACATTAAAAAATAATAAACGTTAAGAATAATAATAATATGTATATAGTTTAATCACATCATTTAGATAATGGAATCTGCTCATTAAAGAGGTTTTGTTTTCAATTTGGTTATTACAAAGTAAACATTTTTAATTCAAGTTGAGTTCTATTCAAACTTTAGTTAATACTCCTGTGAATTAGTGTTCCTCATTTAGTTAAAAAAAAATTTTTTTTATTTTGTTAGCATCTGAATTGAATTTCCTTTTATATTCGACAGACAAACTGAGAGGCAGGTTAAGGAATTTTGGATTGTTGATCCTCTGAACCTCTCATCCAACTGGGCTGTAATTGAGGGGTTTATATTGAATAGCAAGGAAGCCCAAACCCCCCAGTTACCTCTTCAATATTTATTTATAAAATATTTTACCAGGAAAGATACATTGATACTTTAGGCTTGGGGAAGATTTTAAAGTGTGCGGGAGGTTGTTCCATAATTGCAGCGCTCTGTAGGAAAAGGAGGATCGGGCTACTTTCTTTTTTTATTGAGGTAGACTAAATAAAGTGCTGGTACTGTATCGGGGGTTATGGGAAGTGGGAACAGCAGTGGAGAGCATTCTGCTCAGGAAGGGTGGGAGCGTCCAAGAAAAGCTCTTAAAGGGACATTCCAGACACCCAGACCACTTCTGTACTACTCCAGCGTCGCTAAAATCCCCATAGGAAAGCATTGAAAGCATTTTTAATGCTTTCCTATGGGGAGGTCTAATGCGTGTGCGCGGCATTGCTGCACATGTGCATTAGGTCTTCCCTGCCAGCGGGCGTTATCAGTCTCCCCGGCCGGCTGACATGGTGTCGGGGAGGAGCGTGGGCGGACCAAGAAGCAGCGCAGAGGGACATCGTCGCTGCCTCTGGTAAGTCACTGAAGGGATTTTGACCCCTTCAGCAACCAGGGATGGGAGGTGGGAGGGAGAGGGGACCTGCAGTTTTCCTGGCACTGGAGAGTCCCTTTAAACACAAGGCTGGAAAGATGAAGGGTGCGTCTGGATTCTAGCGACAGACAGTTTAGTTCTTTTAGCATGTCACAATGGTGGGTCCTGTAATTACATTGTAGCACAAATCGTCAGAACGAGTTATACAATGTAATGAGTTTATTAATGTGGGATTGCGGTGCAGGTGCATATACTACATCCCCATAATCAATGATTGGCAACAGCATTTGCTGTACAATCTTTTCCTTTACTGTAGTGCTTAAGCAGGATTTGTTTCTGTACAGGGCACCTAGTTTTGGATAAAGTTTAGATGCAAGTGTTTCTATGTGGAGGCCAAAAGATAGATTGAGGTCTAACAACATACCCAAGTATGTGAAAGAGCGCACTGCGGTCAGTGTGCTCTTTAAATTTGTTTTGATGGATAGGTGGGAATTGTGTAATTTAGGTACTGTTCCAAAGATCATTGTGACCGTTTTATCAGTATTTAGGAAGAGTTTGTTTTTTGCGATCCACTTTTCTACCTCTGTAAACTGGTCTTGGAGCACAGCCTCAAACTGCGATAGATCGGATTTGCGCGCATATATTACTGTGTCGTCTGCGTACATGTGTGCATTTGCAGACATTAGGCAGATCATTTATAAATAATGGAAATAGTAGGGGTATGTCAAAAAACACTTTAAATGTAAGTATATATAATGCAGATGCTATAACGCTCACTTTCAATGTGACCTGCAGGTTAAACGTACTTACTTCATCACACTTTTCATTTAAGTGTCCAACATTACATAGGACATTTCTGAGCTAGGTTCTGCATTGCCCAGACTTACTCCTTCTGGTGTCTATTTTTTGGAAACACAATCAGGATTATGCACTAATAGAGAAAATTTATAACAAATTTACCATAATTTTGTTTTCCTGGCTATTTCTCATGGCAGCATCACTTATGGGTAGCTCCTCCCTTAGCAGTCACAGGACAGGAATTAATTAGATTAATTAACTAGACTGATGGGTACAAAGAGTCCCTCCTCCCCTTACACCTCAGTCCAATTATAAAGCTGAAAAATAAAAGAATGGGCGGGAACCCTGATGCTGCCATGAGAAATAGCCAGGAAAACAAAATTATGGTAAGTTTGTTATAAATTTTCTCTATTCCTGGCTAATCATAGCAGCATCGCTTATGGGTTATACCCAAGCTCACAGATTTATAGGGTGGGAATAATAAACCAAGAAAAGACACTGAACAGACTCTTATGCTGCAAAGAAATTGAATATCAACAGGATAAAGAAACCGTAGACAGGACACTCTTCCCAAAGGAGGTGGAAGGAGAGTCCACATCCAGTTTGTAGTGTTTCATGAACGTCATCGGGGGAAGACCAGGTGGCTGCCGTGCAAATATCATCGTATGGAATCTCTGCCCAATTAGCCCATGAAGTCGACAATGCTCTGGTAGAATGAGTTCTTATCTTCATTGGAGGAGATCGATCTTTAGAGATATATGCTTTCCTGATCACTAGCGAAATCCAAAGTTTCAATGTAGATAAATAGGCCGCCTCACCTCTCCTGGCTCCTGAAGGTAAAACAAAGAGTTGGTCAGTTTTTCTGTAAGACTCAGAACGCTTAAGGTACATAAACAGGCAGTTCGTGACATCCAAACATTGCCACCCAACCTCCTCTTGCGAAGACAGATTGGGGTAGAACGATGGAAGGACCACTTCTTGAGAGAGATGAAACTGAGAGACCATCTTAGGATGCATATGATTGTGGTTTATAGGGACCTGGTAGTAATGCATCCCTTAAGTCTATAGAGGTCATCCAGTCTCCCCTTTTGACGCTTTTCAGGATGGTCTGTAAAGATTCCATTTTGAACGTTCTCACGTCGAGCATGGAGTTTACTCCTTTCAAGTTCAGGATGAGACGCCACTTTCCATGGGGTTTTGGAGCCAATAACACTGTGGAATAAACCCCCCGGAACCTTTAGTGTTTTGGAACTTCTTCTACCACCTTCTGTTCCATAAGAGTGGAAAAGCAGGCCCTCAGGTTTGATACCTGCCGACACCTTCGATTTTTTGAAGAAAGCGGTTTTTGGGCGAGACGAAAATTCTATCCTGTAACCCTCTTTTATGATGGATGTGACCCACACTTCCGTAATATTTGCGGCCCATACCGGGTAAAAGAACTGCAGTCTTCCACCCACCATTCCCGGATGGGCCTGAAGACCTTCAGAAGGTCTTCCCAGAGGTTCTGGCTCCTCTTCCTCTGGAAGCCTTATTGGTGGAAGAGTGAGAGAAGAATTTTATAAGTTGCCAAACGAAAAATGTAATTTATCTTCTTGAATGTAAATGTGGTATACAATACGTAGGTCGTACAATAGGAAAACTACACATTAGAATCCTGGAGCATTTTAATGGTATAAAAAGAGGGAACATAAAACATAGTGTTCCCAAACATTGTATAAATTGTACTCATTTTAGCTTCCAAGATTTTAGATGTATAGGTATTGATACGATAATCCCCCATTGGAGAGGTGGTGATACGGAAAAAGCGCTAGCTATGAAAGAAACAGAATGGATTCACAAACTTAAAACCACTTCTCCAAGAGGTCTAAATGTGGATCTGGATTTATTAGTGTTTATGGATTGAATTTTATAGTATTTTAGGACCTTTGGAAAGCTCCTTTCCATTTATATTATAATATTATACATTTTTGGTAATTTTTTGTTGTTTCCATAGAAGTTTTATTGAATTTTATATATTTTTTAGTAATTATTATCATAATTTTTTATGGTAATTTTAAAAGATTTTGACGTTTTCGCCATGTCCCTCAGTTAAACTAAAATAAAAATGTTCATTATTGCACATTGTTTTTATTAAGTTCGAAATGACCATCTCTATAGCTTGCTATATATAGATAAAGAAAAAGAAAAACACTTTTGTATACATAATATTGTATAAAATGTAACATTATGTCTCTTTTATCCCTCCATAGTATGTCTAATCATTATTTTTAATCTCTTGTAAATCTTCTATTCTCAGTTGTAGATTTTTAGCAATTCTAAAGATGAAATATGTAATTTATTTCTAATGTTTTTAATTCAGTATAAAGTGTATGCATAACATGTTTTTTAGCATTAGATGAATTGTATATTACTGATATAAATGAGGTTTAAGTGCCCACATTTCATTCCGTAAGACCAGGTGGTCAAGTACGGAAATGTGTTCATTGGCACAGAACATCAATAAAGTTGTTTGCGTTCCAGGCTGGATGTGCGCGCATGCGCGGTAAAGCTTTTACCGTAATGCGCATGCGCGCAATAATGAAAGCCGCGCAAACTCAATTATTTAAAAAGCCGGAAGAAGAAGAAACATACAGCTCCTGAGAAAGTCAATTAGACGAAACGCGTCGAGCAATTGGAAGATCGTGAGTGCCCCTACAGCTTTTGGATCATATCTAGTTCCGAGTGAAATACCATTGGAAGTCTTTAGAACTTTGGATACTGGGATCCTGCTACAAGAAGGGACTCTAGCCCAGGAAAGGGCTGTAAAGCTTTTTAGCACAACTAAGACATATGTCCTTGTTGTGCAACTATACTTGTGAGTGTACTTGCTTTTTATTATTTTGATTTAATTGTTATTAAATACTTCACTATATATTTTCTGCTTTTTATCTCTTTACATGAATATTCATGACTATGATGTGGTAAATATATTCACATGTTTGTGATCGTGGCGCCCCCGGTGGTATATGTTTAACTATACTATTTTTTTGGTATTGTAACTGGGACTGGGAGTGATCCCTATTTTGGGGTGATTAGCCTGCACTGGAATTTTGCACTTTTTCCCACTTACTGCCCCTCTTTTAGAGAAGGATTTACACAAAGAATTTCTGGAATACTCCCTTCCTAGTTTGTAGCTTCTGCTGTCCCGAAAGGACCGATCCTTGAATC